AACAAAAATTATTGTCAATCACACCTCGGCTTCTACAGGCATATAATGCACAAAAAATAAGTGACTTTTTTGGGCAATAAAAACTTCAGAGTAAATACTATTAACAAAGTTTAGATAATCAGCATTTGGTCAGAAATTAATAACTAAGATTCAATCCATGATAAAATCAGGAAAGACCCAAATACATCTGTAAAGGCAATAATGACATACTGTATAAAGTACAGTACTGTACTGTACAGTACTATGTGCATCCAAATACAATAACTGTCAACTTGTAAAACATACAGTGCTCATAAATTGTATATATTTAATCTAACAATTCCAAATATCATGCTTGCAATGATGCAAAATACATTTTCAGACAATATATATATATATATATATATATATATATATATATATATATATATATATATATATATATATACTATATATATACTATATATATATATATATATATATATATATATTATATAGTATATATACTATATACTGTATATATATATAGTATATATACTATATACTGTATATATGTATATATATATATATATATATATATATATATATATATATATATATATATATATATATATATATATATATATATATATATATATATATATATATATATATATACAGAGTACTGTATATGTATATATACAAAGTTTGTACAGCTGACAAGATGGTTAAAATTTACAACAAAGTTTACACTGGAAAACCCTTTATGAGTGACGTACACTGGACATGAAGCAATAAAGCCAAAATAGACAGCGCATGAATAATACAGTGTCCAACACGAGTAGTCTCACTAGGACTCTGAAAATACTCTAAACTTGAAACTTGTCACAAACAACTATCCACTAAACAATGTCCTTATTATGTGTTGATATATACATTATAATGTCATTTGCTGCACAGCAAATTTTCAGTACTCCTGTTCATACAAATGTCACTAGCCTGATTCTATAGTTAAGTATTATAATGTTTTCTGGTCCACGCCCATGTCATAAATAAGATGTATGCATCACTGTCCAACACAACCAAATGATATAAAATATACATTGTCTAAACTATAATCCTCAGTGATCTTGCCATCTTCTGGCTATATCATTATAGTATTTTATTTATGGAATAAAAATTTGCTCTGAATGACGTCTAATCACGTTTATTTTATTTTTTTTCTTAAAATTCCTTATTTAATAATTTGTCATCTTTTGAAAGATCTATTGTATATGACTTAGTAATCATTTTTAATGTACTTGTACCTCTTGTCTTATCAAATTGGCCATTTACCCTTTTAATGATAATGAACAGAATCTATCCTACAAACTAGGATGTCCATCACATGTGATCATGACTGTCATAAATTTTAAATGTACTGTCCTCAACTGGTCAGCAAATCTCATAATGGTACCTGTCAAATGTCTTCTATGAGCTTTAATAAACACTTCACTGAGGACCTGTCACAATATAACAGTGGTCCAACATATAGCACTACATAATAGGTTGGCACTTAAAAAGCATATGCTTTCATTTGAATAGGTCATGATGTATATCAAATAAAGAATTTAAGAGAAGAATTATTGCAGTTCTTTTAAGCTACACAAAGTACACAGTTTAAATATCATCATAGGCCACTATGTGTCACACTGACCTGAAGCGACAAAGTTATTACAGTACAATGGTATTTTTATGGTACAAATATCTATTAAAATATTCTATATGGAAATAGTGTTAACATTACCACAAAGACTAACCAATAAAAGGTGGTTTGTCTGTTTTGATATCATACCCAAGTGCAGAAGATGGGTTCCAAAACCTAAGTACGTACTGAAGTTACTTAACAATGCTCATTATGAACAAAGCCGCACAATATATTAAAGACAATAACTCTTAATGAAATTAATCCATGTACTGTACATGTAAGCAATTATCACTGTTTTGCTGAATAGGAAAAGCTGTTGTCAATATCACAGGCATTTTAACATGAGAAAGTTTGTTGAAATCACAATTCACATCTGAAGAAGATGCATTACTACTAATCATAAGAGAAATTACCAAATGTAAGTTACTGAAGAAAGAGAAGCTAATTTCTTAAAGTACAAAGGTCTGAGGAATGAAACATATCACATGAAAACTTGATCAACAAAAGCTGAGAAAGAAATATACTGTAAAGATAGGATGTGGTACCTAGCTTCTTGTCTTATTCACAGGTTTCTGTATATATACAAGTGATCGCAGGCACCTTTGTGCCCAGTGAAAGTTTGAACGCTTGTGCTTGGCTAGCGTACAGCGAATGAGGGTGCGCAAAGTCCGTAGACTTACACCGTTTTCCATCGTAAATAAAACGGTTAATTAATGCCTTCCTAAAGAAACCATCGACCATATATATAAATATATATATATATATATACAGTATATGTATATATATGTATATGTATATGTATATATATATATATATATATATATATATATATATATATATATATATATATATATATATATATATATATATATATATATATATATATATATATATATATATATATATATATATATATATGCCCCATAGACAGCCTTAAGCTAAATTTAAAAACAAAATAATAATAATAACCAAAAAGCAAGGACTGCGGAACACTTATCCTGCAGGCAGTACTGCCTTAAAGAGTAATGCTCTGTCGGGCTGAGCTACATGGTTTACTAGTTTAAATGTCATTATTAATAATTCATATTTTATAATTCAAACCTCATTACTGTTTACTCATGTGACACAAATTGTTAGTCTAGAAGAGGGATGTGTCTGTTGATGCAGTTCTTCTTCTGCTTCTCTGATTGTGTTGAAATACTGTACAGAATTTATTGCACGCTTATGATGACCCTTAGAGGCAATTATATATTAAACATTTCACTACACAGGATATTTCTTCATAATAAAGAAATATGAACATTAGTTTTCAATCCTATTGCAAAGTTTCAAGAATCACTTAATAACTCATATTAATCAATATAAATATTAACATTTTGAGACTTGAACATAAGAGTTTGTTTCTCCATTCATAAATAAAAACTTTCCATTCCTGACATAATCAGAAGATATATTATGAGGAAATAAAGTGCCGTCAGTACCATAATTCCAGTCACTATATCTTGACATACTCCAACAGCTCTGTTGACTGTCACAAAGGACATGGATAGCTTTACATTTATATATCATTATAAAAAAAATTATGAACAATAATAATCAGTGACTTTAACTGAATGTTTTTCTTTGTATGATTTCAATTGTTTGCCAAATACAGCATCTAAACTCTTACATATAAATTGGCAAAAACCCTCAACAACTGTTAGGACTTTTAATCATTGATAGCAAAAAGGTGGCTCATTACTTCTCATGGCACAGCATTGTGACTCATTTTCCAAACATTACCAAAGACAATGAAAAGTTATCACTATCACTGAATAAATATGGAATTACCCTGTATTAATGTTTACAACTAATCTTTCCTTGCTTTAAAGATGTCACTTTTGGGTGGTATAAATCCTGCCAGATTCACACTGGCAGTCTAATTTCACGTTTACTTACACCATGAAAACACTTTTGAGAAAACCTGGAAGATGAACTGACTTTTAAGTACACATACATGATCTTAGAAATACATAGAATATTCATTCACAAATATATACACAAGAGAAACCCAGGGTTAATAATTAATTTTTTACATGCACATACACCCATAAACATATAGACAATCGTCTATATACAGTTCCATTATATACATTATCGAATGTACATACATTCAAAGTTGTATGACACAAATAAATGTCATGTCATATGGTTTTACATACCACATACAAAAACTTATAGTACATAGTAGATACAGTTGTACCTGTCACTGCCTCTGAGTATAAGCCAGCTACACAAAGAGACACACAACATTCTCTTGGATTAAGATAGCAACACAAGTTGTTACCCTCTGTATCACTTCTAGTGTGCATTCAAGTGAGGGAATACTGTACAGTCAAGCACTTGTCTCTCAACAACTGCCACCTTAACTGTCAAATTGTGCAATTTTGTACAGTCTGATTTCATTTAGGTAATAAAACCTTACCTACATTGGTAATACACAAGAAGGCTAATGAAGAAATTTACTACAGTATATATACCCAGCAATTGAATGCCATACTGTACTGAACTTCTTTGCCATGGTAATGTGCTGACTCTCATGTGTATGTTTACATCTGTTGTAATTTTCATCTTATACAACAGTTTATTGTAAAGTTTTCAATCATGAATTACTTATTATATTAATTTCATTAGCGATACATTCTACAGTTTACATATTTCACTGAATATGACAGCAAATAAATTTGTGAAAATGAATTTGTTTTACCAAAATAGTCAAATCTAAATTTTATATCAACTTCCAGATGACCCATACACTCATCACCACCATCATTGTGTGTACTTATCTCACATTTTAAGTAGAATAACACAGGGAAAAACTTGTGTAAACATTTACTGACACCTGCATGTACTTAGACTTAACTGGATACTGTGAAACACCTACTGAATGTTTCTACATGTTTGCTAGCCAGCTCAAAGTTAATTCAATTCCCACAAGCTTGTGCACATAATTAAAAGGAGGCATGGCCTCTGCATGTATAAGTACAGTAGAGCCAATCGCCCCACACACACAAAAACTATAGATACTTCAGCAATATAAAGATCCACATAAAATCTTAAAACATCCAATAACAAATAAATTTCTTGATGTCTGAATCATCTTTCTGTAATATTCTTTATCACCAAAATCTGAAAGTTAAGCAGTGACAAAAATTCACATAGCTATGTTTATTAAAGAACCAGGATAGCAATGTAGATGATCAGGTAAGTAAATCACAGATGCAGTAAAAAGTCCTACATGAGACAGCAAAGATAACTTACTACAGATGCACAAACTGGAGGAGGCAACAGTAGGTAATTACTTTAAAAAATACCCTCAAGATATCAACCGGGTGTCATTATTAAAGTGATAAAAGAGTAAACACTGCATTTTTCATATTAAAAGGCATACATCTTACATTAAGGTTTTCCATTAAACCATTTTGATTGACTGTTGTTGCACAGAACAGATAACAGGACTGTGAATGGATAGGACTTATGGTTAAACTGTGTTGAGCACATTATGTGAAAATAAATCTTGTAGACTGATAAATATAGTACAGGGTACTGTAGTTCATTTTTTTCATCAATAAATGTTTATAAACTTATACACTTGTTTTCTTGATTAAAAATGAACCATTTTTCACTGGACTTGTTTCTTCATTAATTGTACTTTGTTTTGATTTTTTCTTAAGAGTAAATTATATTTATCAACTTGGCCCATCCCATTTTGGATACAACTTTGTTCTCCTTAGTTTACAAATTATTTCTACAAACATTAGTCACGATAAGATCTTTACATAGTTATTAGCCAAATATGTAAAAGGAAACTTAACAACCTTAGGGAATTATAGGGAAAGTTTGCTTAATATGTCAACATAAACTATATTCATTATTACTGTATTCCTAGCCTTAAACAGCCTGTGCTAGATTACTGCAAAAAAATTACTTGAAACTGTCTAACTACCAGTATGAGCACTAACACACAAAAGTGAGTGTAAGTGCAGTACAATATAGTGCAACACAAGGCATTTATTAAATTCTCAAGTACTGTAGTCAAGACCTTTGTTACAGCAAATGAATCTTAAACTGGGCAGCTTAAGGATAAGAGGTTACATTTCTCCTTGAGGCTGGCTAAATGGTCATCATTACATTGTTTTATACTTTCAGTAATTAAGTAATTGGCACTGCAAAAGGCTTGATTTCATACATGTTTACAAATATGAGTACAATTACTCATAAAGCAGGTATAAACATTTAAACTACAGTAGCTTGGGTGGTAATCAGGAGTCCACTTCCAATAAGGCCCGAGTCCCTGCATAAACCCTACTTCATGTACTCCTTCTGTTTCTTACTCACTGACCTATTGCTATATCTTCATATCAGTATTTTAAGCAACAGGAGAATCAATAATACAAAAATACAAATTGCGCTTTCATCATTCCATACTTTGAAAATACATAAATCAGAAATTGCAACCATAAAAGAAAGAAAAAACACAACATACACGGAACACAAGACAAAGTGATTGTATAGTAAATTGTAGCATGTATCTATATGTATGTCTGATCCTGCTGAGCATCACTGTTTCTTCAAGGGATTAACAAACTGCTGTATCAGTGTTACATTATGATGTACTGGAGGTAGTGGCTTCTCGGTTTCAAAGACATCATGTATTTCCAGTATAAATAAACCTGTATTCAAAGGTGATCATAATTAGCAAGGGTGTTTAGAACATTGTCATTAAATAATTTTTAAAACAGTTAAATGAATCAGATCCAAAGTAGTCAAAATCAATACATTTTTTTTTTACTAATAAGATAGTGAATGTGTTTAACCAATAGTTATAAAAGTAAATACCAAATAAACTTGGTAATAATTAAGACAGCATAACAAAATACTTTTTTATGATAACTTTTTAGTCATATTACAGTAGTATACAGTAAATGTTATCATAAAAATTCTCTCATCCAAGAGAACATCAGCAACAAGGGATACAAGTAAGTATAGTATTTGTCATCAACACTAAACATCACCCAATTTCTGTAAAGTTCATCATTTATGTTGTGTGTACAGTTTCCCATAAGCAGAGTTAAGAATTGTACAGTACTGTATGCAGTAACTTTCCACGAATGATATTACTTGAGACTAATTTTTGTATTTTGGAACATTCTGAACTATCCCTTCGAGTGTCTATTGTAATTTTAAATGTAAATTAGTGTTGACTGGCTTCTATTATTTTGCAATTGTAAAATATTTATATCTGTACACGAGCCGATCAGTGGTGAAGAGGATAAAAGTAAGTAAGTAAGGTATTGTAGTGTGTCAATTATCTGTCTCTCCAGGATTTGAAAATCTCCAGATTCCAGCCATTTTAACCTAAGTGCAGGTTAGTTGTATACAACTCAGTTGTGATGAAACCAGGAATGTAAGGAAACAGTCAACATTAACCGTGATGCAGTTGTGTGTGAGGCTCGAACTAAACCTGTACAAACTATATCTGGTCAGACAAAACCCACACTTTGGTGTTTACAGTATAGTGATTTACATTGTGATTACATTATACTGGTGCATTTTGAAGATATAAAACTTTTTATCACATGCTTTTTTAAATGAATGAAAACAGCAGTTATAATTTTTTTTTCTATCATTGAACAATACTAAGATGCTGATACAAGTATCAGAGAGCATCTCTATGTGAAGTAGATCAGTGATCTGGTTGTGTGAGAGGTATGCATGGAGGCTACACCCTTATCGAACCCTCCATCCTTCCTCTAGGAGAGGAGGTAAGCCTGGAATCTCTGACAGTGTTCAACGCTTCCTCTCATAGAAGAGAGGAGGTACACTTGGCTTCTATGAAGTCTGTCACATTGCAAGGGGAACCTACAAGAAGTTTCTGTAGTGAGATAAGCAATATACAGAATACTGTAGTACGTACCTCGAATGGTCAAAATTAACTCCCGCAATATCTAGACATCAGTACCTTTTTATAAATACAGCTCTTAAATTAACAGTTATGTAACTCATTTTCTGAAATTATTGTAAGAATTTATAATTATAATTTTAGTACGATAATAAAAAAGTGTATATACAGTACATCATTCTAGTCATCTGAGGACCACATCCTCTAACCTTCAGCTTATTTTCCTACACTTTATTCAATTCACTATTTTTATAATTTCTAAGACAATTATTTCCAAAATTCTGAAAATTCCTGAACCTGTTTTATTTATTTTTATTCCAAACTTGCTAGATAATTGATATTTTCTACTTTTATCTTCTTCGCCACTGATTGGCTCGTTAGCCACTTAGCGGTCGGCCACATCTCTGATGGCAAATACTGGCCATGCACTGGCTCCTGAATATATCTAAGCCTGCTCCAGTGTTGGTCAAGTCTGGTCTTGAACCAGCTCAGACTTGGTGCCATTGGTGCCATCGGTTCCAAGAGTTCACAATTCTCACTCCGAAAAGTTTGCCTTCACAGTTTTCTGGACTTGTGCCTGCATTATGAAACATCTTCCCCCACATGGCATAATCTACTGGTATACTAGCAGCCTGTCAGTTGGGCTACACACTTGACTCTTGACTGGTCTACTCATGGTCCAATAGAACAAGTACTAGACCCATGAGTTGGTACAATATTGGTATCTATTGACCTATGTGTCCTGACCTCTGGTGGCACCTCCCTGTATCATTTCCAAATACTGGTGTCTTCGAGACTCTCGCACATGTGTTAAAGAATATTACATATATGAAAACCTAAAGATCAGATGTCATAGATATTATCTAAATGACCCAACAGGGGAACTACTGGTACATCTGTTTTTAGGAAGATTCAATAGTTCTGTGCTATGATGAATTCCAAAGTCATAGACCAAAGTTGTGAATGTAATTTCCTACACAAAATAACCTAACAAGCTATGGCCTGTTGTCGGGTCACAACTCACCACATGACTAAATCTGTCTCTTGGCCTGGGAGTCCAGTGTTACTGACTATGATGTTTCCTTAGCTTTTATCTTGTTACCCAATAGGACATCATAGTCTTCTTTACTTTTATTAAAATGATATGAGACAAATCTTATATAGCCTACCTTACTGCACTGCTTTTTAAAATTGATAAAAATTTCTTCATCTTCAGTTAGAATCGTTCTTTGTGTGTGTGTGTGTGTGTGTGTGTAGATACTTATACCTAGCTAATGACCAGATGGTTCAACTTTACATTCATCAATATTTTAAATTAATATAATTATATATAATGCATATTTTTCATAAAATACAGTATAAAAACACAACTATTCACAGCATAATATATACAAACATACACAAATAACAAATGTACAAACAAGCAAACCAAAGTCAGAACACGGGTTCCCTTAAAATAAGAAAAACAATGAACAAAATGAGTACAGTAGTGTGTTGGGAGACACACTTCCCAGAAACACAAAAATATGACTGACTGAGGAACAAATGAATTGTAATCACTTAATGAAAATAAGTACATTAGAAAAAAGTACAGATGACTGAGGGTAAGTAGGTCAGAATGGCCTTAACTACCATATCATGAGGTGGTCAGAGGATGCTAGCTGTGCCATTCCTCTGATATTTATTCCTGAGTCTTGTGAGTGTGGATGAAGATTCACTACTCAGTGTGGAATGAGTGTATGTGAGAGGCCGGTTTGCAAAGCGGCGCTTGAGGGACGTGATGGGTCGGGTTTCATCCTCTCGCCATCTCCTCCAGTTGTGGTGTTCTATTGGGTCCTGAGGTCCCCAGTCACCCCACTCTCGTGATGACTGCAGTGAGGAGGCCACTTTCTGTGTGTGCACATAGCAGATACAACCATTAATAAACTCTGATCCATTTTGTGCATGCAAAGTTACAATATAGAACATCAATTGTTCTGAATTTCTGCCCATTTTTCATGTATTTATTATTAAAAATGTAAACAATATATACAGTACTGTCATATAAATAACAAACAACAGACCAAGCAGCACTGGGTTTCTAAAAAACAAACAAATACTTACATCTATAACACCATATGCCAGCTGGGATTTAACCACATAAATGGCAGTGATGGGAACAGGCAGCAAGACCAGTGCCCGCAGCCCCCACACCAAGGCTGTCCTCCACCCTGGGCCATCAGTAACTGCCACTGCTTGTCCATCCAAAACACTAGCCCATATTACAACACCCTGAAATATTAAACATTTTTGAAATATAGCCTTGTCCAACATAAGCCCTGGACTTACACTGAAATTCCTCAGAAGAGAATTCCCAGGTTGACCAGATGACCATTTGGTTAACAAAACATATCGTGAGGGATATGCAGAGCAACTTACACTGAAGGGGCTGGGAGCTAACTTTGGTTATGGGTTATGAGTGTATGGACATAATTGGCACCATAAACAATTGCAAAATAAACAAAACAATTGGATCATCAACATAACTGAAATAACTCTTACAATCAAAATCCAAGGAAGGCTGGAATCCACTTTACTATATAAATAGCACAAGAGCATTGTGGCAAACCTGAACATATCCCTAAGTGCAACATAAACTGTAAGCACAACTTAACAGTGTTAAGAATCATAACTGTCAATAACATGATCTGTGTTTAGCAGGGAGATGGATGAACTTAAGGATGGTACTGAAAATCCCAGGTACCTGATGGCAGTCATGGGAAGGTTTGCATATGAATGTTGCTGTAGCACCAGGATCCACTCACCTTTTAGCCCTTCAAGAAAACTGTTGCTTCTAATCTCCCTCTCTATCAGTGATGATTGTGATGGAAGAAATTAACTAATCATACAATATTAGTTCCTGCCATCAGTGATTTGGGATCTAGCCTGGGTCAGAGCCTGTAGGACTCTGTGGGTCTCCTTAGACTGATGTCAGGTTATATCAATTGCTTAAACATGAAGCTTTGAAGTAAGTGATGCAGAGTAAAGAGTACAGTACTAACCAAAAGGGAAAGTGGGATAAAAACGCCCCAAACAGGAATCCACAGCCAGCTGACGGTGGCCTCCAACATGAATGTAAAGTCCTTGCGAACTTTATGGATCCCTGAAAGATAATAATTTTCTTAATTAAGTGACAATTAGAGGACAGTGATGAATAGAGTACAAATGATGATGACTTTTGCAAAATTTTGAATCACCTTTATGCACATAACAAATCACATATTAACATACGTATCTAAATCTGCCTATCTGTGCTTCATTAAAAAAAAATCGTGTACAGAACATAAATCAAATATCATAATTTTTTTTTTACTCTTTCTAGCTTTTTTCTCAAATATAATGCAGTCAGCTGAACCAACACCAAACATATGACACAGATTCTCTCTTCATTTGCTGCTATTCATTCATTCTTACTACTGAAATTTATGTGTTCTGCTATGGTATTTCAACAATAAGGTCTCAGCAGCATCTCTATTTAATGCCATGCATACTGCTGCTTCCAAGATGTTCAACCTCAACACTTCTAGTGCATCCTTCAACCTAGCTTTCCATCTCGCTACTTCTGGCAAATGTCAACTCATTAGAAGTTTATGGAATGTAATGCCAACAAACTCATTTAACTCACTTTCTGGGAACTCTCAACTTCAAAATAGACTGCATTTATTTTTTCATTCCAAGTATGAATGCAATGATGTTTTCTTTATTTCATTATTTAAGAAGTAAAACAGAAGCTCAAAGAAGTTGTGCAAGTGTGTGTGGCTCAATTTCTCAATAATTACAGTGTTCTCCATTGCAGTACAGTACAGTATTTTTTTTCTTAATTTATAATTTAACCTCTTATAAGTTTACTAACCATTTGGCCAGATGATCTGTTCTTTGTAATGTTTTTATTGCCCAGTGTTAATACATGAGGAAAATAGAGTACCCTGAGGAAACCTGTAATGTTTGACTGGGTACCATGTGTGTCCCAGGCAAGGGCTCAAACCCATGAGATAGTAGTGAGATACACATACACGCAATACTGCTGTACACCAACACACTTTATTTGTTTATTATTGACTTATGATCACTGTGTGCACCAACAGTTTTCATTAAAAACATGGTGGTTACAGGTGTTGGTGGTAGTGGTGGTTGCAGGTAAAGTGAGTAATGGCAGTACACTGTTTCTCATGCAAATGTACTGCCAGGCACAAGTGATCAGCTCACATCTAGAGCCTCAAATTTGTCATTATGAGATATTGTTTTCTTTTACCTACAATAATTAAATGTAGCCCTACAACAAGATGTTACAATAAAAAAAACGCATTAAGAAAATTGAGAGGCATGTATGTTTTTACAGTCGGCCAGAGCCACCCACATACACTTATACACATAAGTGCAGTACACATAACCAGGCTTCCCAAGTTGTGTAATCACATTTCAGTCACAGAATTATTATTCACAGAACCTCTTAATTGATAGTTTATGTAAAATGTCCAAAAATAAGTCTCATAAGGAGAGAACAATGAGTAATGTTTTTCTCCAATTAAATTATATATACTGTAATACACATTGGGAACATTCCAGATATCAAACATAAACAAAGACATAGTATAATTTTATGCCTGTTATTTATAAGATTACCTTATTTTATTTTTCAGCTTTTGTTTACCTATAAAAACTAATTTAAATTTATTTTACAATTTAATTTGTAGTAAATTGTGAATATCCAGATGGTGGGTATCCAGGGCCAAAAGAGTTATAATTAAAAAACACAAATGGGGCTGCTCTACACCAGGTATTACTATACTATACCTGGATATCTTTGGGTGCTTATCATAAGTTATTCATGCAATTTTAAATCGTTCCAATTCAAATTAAACAGGTGTTAAATGATCTGTTGAAGAATCTTTTCACAGTAAGGTACTATTACAGATGATTGCATGTTTAGGAGCATCTCACTATTTTTGTCCTTAAACTTTATCTTCAAGAGTTCAGGAGGAAACCAGGGGTGTCAGGAGGGTCACACTGGACAACACCCTCCTCATACCTGACCTAAGCAGGGGTCAAATACAGGTGACAGTGGTGAGAGTAAAGCCCCAGGTTACATAGGTGAGAGTAAAGCCTCAGGTTACAGTGGTGAGAGTAAAGCCTCAGGTTACAGTGGTGAGAGTAAAGCCTCAGGTTACAGTAGTAAGAGTAAAGCCTCAGGTTACAGTGGCAAGAGTAAAGTCTCAGGTTACAGTGGTGAGAGTAAAGCCTCAGGTTACAGTGGTGAGAGTAAAGCCTCAGGTTACAGTAGTGACAGTAAAGCCTCAGGTTACAGTAGTGAGTGAAAAGCCTCAGGTTACAGTGGCAAGAGTAAAGTCTCAGGTTACAGTGGCAAGAGTAAAGTCTCAGGTTACAGTGGCAAGAGTAAAGTCTCAGGTTACAGTGGCAAGAGTAAAGCCTCAGGTTACAGTGGCAAGAGTAAAGTCTCAGGTTACAGTGGCAAGAGTAAAGCCTCAGGTTACAGTGGCAAGAGTAAAGCCTCAGGTTACAGTGGTGAGAGCAAAGCCTAATACAGTATTGTACCACTATTATCACAAACACAGTCCAAGTTAGGAAGAGAAATGAGGGTTATGAAGAAATTAAAAGCAATAGACATGATACTTTACCCACAAATGAATGAAAAAACCTTCTCAAGCAAAAAATACCCCCTTAAAGTGTGGCCTAAAAATGATGGAGACTGACATGCTTTTTAATAAACACAAATCCATCAACATTCACCACAGAGATTATTTATGGGCTTATTGAGTTATAAATACAGTTCCACATTTTCAGAAACTCCTCATATTGACTTGAGGCAATCAGTAATGGTTATGATGAAAATAAAGGGATGAACAAATGATTTAAAGGTAAAGTAAGTGGAGTAATGCTCATAAGAAAAGGAAGAAACCCAAGTACAGTATTTCAACGCATGCAGACTGAAACAAAGTTAATTTTGGCTCAAGATTTCCACACATTGTAAAATTTTCATAATCAATAACTCTTTCACCATCATACACCCTGTGGTAACAAACAGTATGATCCTATGTACTGAAAGGACACAATGTGGTTCCAAATGTTACAAGTGTGATAGCCATGATGGCAGGTACTCACCATAAATGGCAGTAATGGCAAGAGTAAGTGTAAAAGGTGGCCACAACACCACAGGGGTCAATACATCGCCGTCCAGCAGGGCCACAACTGCGGCTCCACCCTGTGTTCAACCCATTAATGTCAGTTTTATCCTACACTTTAGTCACAATATCTATCTAAACAAACAAACAACATACTGTATTAATAAATGTATCTAATATGTAAATCATTTTCCTATGTTACAACAATATAATATGCATACCAAAGAACAAACTCAAAGATCTACAAATTAATACTGACCATATTCACACAATGGTAGTCTCTACTCTACAAGAACAACAGTTCACTTCATTCTGGTATGACAGATTCTATGAGTAAAAAAATACTATACTACAAGCTATGATGGACCAAGTTACTGGATTTTCTTATAATGACAGCACTAAAAAAAATGTAATAAACTATATGAGTCTCTCAGTCACATGGCAGCAACAATCAGCTAATTTAGAAATACTTCAAGACAGTTTCTAAGGACAAAACACACAGTATTCATAAGGAGAAGTCTGGCTGGTTATCTGGTGGTCAAATGGTAAGTCTAAACTACAGACATGAATGGGACAAATTAGCAGTTAATGTGAGATCTCATACTGATAAGACTGATGAAGTTACCTTAGTAACTGAGGGTGTGGCAGCAGCTAATAACAGTGGTAATAACATTAATGCCACAGTGGGTCGGGGTAGGCAGTCACGTGCATCTCTCAGTGCTGCTATCAGTGTGTGGACACACACAGTCCCTGTTGTCACTCCACTACACCAAAGTCCTGCAACAATACTCAGTTTTCATTAAGTGGGTTCAATCAAAATTTTGTCATTGAGCATGAATATTTTTTTGAGCTTTGACACACTGGCTCCTGAGCCTATATGAGTGAAAATAGAATAAGGTTGACAGATAGATGGATAGACTTAGATCTAAAGGTCACAGCATGTAGGCTGTGAGATCCCAGGCACTATACATTACTGTATACAATACCTTTTCTGTGCACCTTCACAGATACTGTACTGGAAAACAGCTACAAGTAGCACTTTTCATCCATTTGCTTCTGGATCAATAAATTCTGAGAATCTGCAGTTGACTAAAAGTCCAGTGAGGATGAAAGGTTATCCATTAACTTAAGGACTTGGAACACAGCTTTAGCCATCAAAGGAACTTCATGTTCCTACCCTATTCAGTTTCCTGCCAAATTGCAGATAGACAATATGGCATTTCTCAAGTTTGTCTCCTTACAAGCTGGCAACTTCCATTATATTAGAATACAGAATGCTATATCTATAACAAGCATTGGTCTGGAGCTTCCAACACACTCTTATTACAATAATCTGACACTTTAAGAGGGTAAAGATCAGGAAAGTTTGGGTACAATATTAAGTAGGTTCACTTAAGTTCAGAGGAACAAGTGTTCATTATTTTTTATTGGTACAGTGCGTCCTCGCTTAACGTCGGGGTTACGTTCCTGAAAACGAGACGTTATGCGAAACATCGTTAAGTGGATAAATTTTCCCCAAAAGAAATAGATAAAATATGGGAGTTACATTCCTGAGCCTCCCTTTGCCCCATGAAAAACATTACAAGGTACAGAAAATCATTGTCAATTCTGTAGAAAATAGTATATAGAACTACGGTACTAAGTTTGTATTAGTACTCACTGATAGGCGGAGGTGGTAGAGTGAGTGTGTGGTGAGTAGTGGAGCGAAGGATGATGATGTTTGGAGCGTAGGAGGAGGGTGGGAACGGAGGAGGGCGGGAGAGGAGGAGGGTGGGGAGTCACTGAGACTCTGCAGCTGCCGCCTCCTCCTCCTTCCTGAGCTGACTGGGGTTCCTCCACCGCTGCTTGCTCCTCCTCCGTTGTTGGCGGGAATGCCTCGGCAGCAACCGTATCTGAACTGGCAGCTTCACCAGTCATCTTTATGTTGTGGAAGTTATACCGACGCTTAAATCGTTGAAACCAGCCTCGGCTGGCCGCAAAGGTCTCTTCCTTCGATCCTTCACCCTCTGTTTCCTTCATGTCGTCAAACAAGGATCTGGCCTTATGCTGGATAACCATAAGGCTCACAGGGGCAATGCGTTGATTCTGGTTCTCCATCCACATTGCCTGCATCTTTTCCACCTTCTCTATCACAGTGCTTCTAGTACGAGTCGTCTCAGTAGCACTCAGAGAAGAACCACTTCCAGCACTAACCATAATCTTGTCAGCGTTGGTCCGGATAGTACGCACCATTGAGGGGGTTAGACCAAGCACAGCGGCTATGTCCACAGCACATTTCCCTTTTTCAAATCGGGTTAATACATCCATTTTCGTAGCCAGGGTAATGGTCTTACATTGCCTGTTCACTACACTAGCATCAGTAGCACTTGATGGGTGCTTGGAAGTCATTTTGAATGGTTAGAGTACAGTTTTAGAGCAAAAACACTTAAGCACACACGAATGATGTGAAGTCGTAACAGAGACTGACTTGGCGTCGCTTAGGGACGCTGTGACGTTCCACGAATGAGGGCAGCGCACAAAGCCGTGAGAGCGTAGCACGGGTGATGCGATGTAGAAAGTAGTCTGTGACGACACAAAACGACGTAGTATTGGATCACTGGGACATTAAACGAAATTTTGGTCTCTAAAGTTCAGCGACGTAGTACCGAAACAACGTTAAGCGGGACGACGTTAAGCGAGGACTTACTAAGTTTTAATCAATTTTTCACGATGATAAATAACCTTTGCCAGCTATCCTTGGTCAAATTGCCTTTTTTACTATCACTGTTGTATACCTGCACTGTCTAGGCATTTAGGAAACTGTACAGAATACAGTACTCCCATGGCCTACATACAGTGTATACCTACATTATCTATATTCATGTTGAACTGTATAATTGCATAATTTATATATGGTACCTGCCTAGTCAATTGTAAACTCTACTATGCGCTCTATCTTCCTTATATTATTATTAATTACCAGCATCATTGATATAGCAAAACCTCACCTATGAAGATGAGAGTTGACACCAGCTGTCTCAGCCACACGAAGGGAAAGGTGACCACACCAATTAAATGGGAGGCTGTAATGACTGCTGCTCCAGTGCTAATACCAACTGCCTCTTCAGGGGTTGTATCATTGGACTCATTTCTGTTCATAGAAAATCACTTTCAAATTGTGCCTAATATGTTATATATATAACAATACTCTAACAGTTATAAAGACAACTGTATAAGTACATAAGCTAATTAGTGGCAAAATTAAAAAAACCCTACTTTTGCACAATATATAAGCACATTGCACAACTATATCACTACAAACACAATAAAAACTTGTAGAAATGGAACACTAATGAAGAAACTATTCATTCAGAATAATTCAGTACCCTATAACATGATAAAAAATACAGATGATGAAATATGTATGTCAATAATTATTAATAATATAATTTTGAAGACAATTTAAAACTATTTAATGACGAGTGTACATAATTAAAGTTTTCATGACATATTTGTTAATGCCTTGGATGAAGGACTGTAGCATGAAATCCCATTTTATAGCTTAGGGTACGAGACAAACAAGAGGGCACCTACTAAAACAGCCCCTGGCAAAACCTGCCTTATACAGAGGAGTTGACTTATCTACTATAACAACAGGTTACACTGCCTTGTGGATCTGTGTAAACTATTGTATGGTAACTTCTTACTCATTGTATTAGTGTTGAACCAATGCTATCAGTTCTTGGTTCAATGGTCATTTTGAAAGCTATTTGGGTTTTGGTTCACTGGAATGATAATCTACAGCAGCGGTCCCCAACCTGTAGTTCGCGCCCATAGAACATATTATGGACCACTGATCTAATGGTGATAATGGTTGCCCATCGTGTAACGAGGATGGCTGGCCCAAGGGCCACCTAGGCGTGAATTTGTTTGAGGTGTAGAAGCTGTCGCCAACACAACAACAACACCCTGAGTTAATGAGTTGCATGACCTAGTCTCAAGGAATAGTCCAAGAAGACCGGACAACTCGCCAACTGCACTGGCTAACCATTAACCCTGGAATACGATCTGCAAATCGATTAACATCCAGGTACCAATTACTGCTGGGTAGACAAAGGCAAATGGCGTAAAGAAACTTGCCCATAATTTCACCCTGCCCGGGGATCTAACCCGGTTTCACTCTCTTGCGAGGCGAGAATGCTGACCATTACACCACAGGTCGCCAATTACAGGATAATTCACTGCCCTCAACAGTGAGGGCATTATACAAAGGTAAACAAAAGACTGAGTAAAATCTGCTTGTTATTGGGAGGATTCTCTTAATAGGGCTTCTGATAACCCTGTTTTTATCCTACAGATAAGATACTAGTTAACAAAATACGATCCCAGACAATGAGTTGAGTTAGTTATATTTTGAGTCTAGGAGTTACCCTTGGTCACACGTGTATAGATAGTGCCAAAAACCACCACTGGTTGAACTTTACCTTACTATAAAAAGAAGGTTGTATGGTATAGTTGTATAAAGCTTCAACTGCTAAATACAGTACAAGTTATAAGCACAACTTAGCTCTGTTAAGAAGGGATGCTATCCAGGGAGTAACCTACTTTTAGCAAGGAGACAGCTGGACTGAAGCCTGGTGCTGGAAATCCAGTTTGGCAAATAATGGACATGTAAAATTTACATGCACAAGCTTTCAACAATAAGTGGTAAATTTCCACCCCTTAAGGCCTTTTTAAGAGTTAGGTTTGCAATGGGAGAGGTTTACAAATTCTTTGAATAAATACAGTAACTGTGTCCAAGTTTAGCCCAGGCTGCAACTCCCATCCTTGATGAGTAAACTTATGAGTGTCCACTGACCAATGCCAGGCTGTATGTAAAATGAATCATACAAAAGGTCCCACTGGAAGAGTACAAACAGTTGACTGTCAGTATTATTTCTTTCATTGTAAATATGCTAAAGTTATTTACTTATGGATAATGCCATGCAATAAAATTTTTAATATTTACAAGAAATGCACATTAGAAAAAAATGCACCTAATTAGACTTTACATTTAGAAGTTAGGAGAGTGGAAGTGTACGAAGAATAGCCATACAAAGGGTGAATATAGGTTTATGGTACACTTGGGACAAGAGTCTACCCCTAAGACAGGAGAGACAACGATACAGTGAAACATCCATCTAATGAAATATATAGAGATGATAGTCCGTTATATCGAGGCTTTGTTAGATGTGAAAACCCCATCAAACAGAGAGAAGTCCATTATGTAGAGGTTTCACTAGAACCAGAACTACAAGTACACTGATATTAAAAAAGTCAAGAGACAATCTTTTTTTATAAAAAAAAAAACCAATTGATATATTGTATTTAACAAATAATATGAACAGCATTACCAAATAAATGTATAGATAATGAATAAGATATTTTACAGACGAGAAAAATAGAGTAAAATTTAATAACCGGCATCCACTGAGTCTCTCATTCATACTTCACATATACAATAAGACAATTATGAACAAATGGGTATACCTGAAAGAGACTAAAGCTTGATCCACTGATAGACCTCGATCACTGGCCAGAATTGTCAGTTGAAGAACTGTAACCACTGACACTAATGCTGTCACAATTGCCAGCAATATCACTAAACCCCACAGGTGCCTGCAAAAGGGAATATTTTAGAATTTGCTAAATTGAGAGAAAAAACAAAATGCTTCACAACACAACATGACTCATATTTACTCAAGGAACTATAATTCACTATGCTAAACATGAAACACTGAAGTGTGAAATCGTATAGTGACTGAGGGGATTATGTGAGTAACCTGTTTGGGTATTGTACCCTTCAGAGAGGATATAAACAGTTGCTTAAAGGCAGTTTACATTATCCAGGTAGCAGTGCCAAAGAAAGGTGGGGGCAGAGAGGGGCACTTGTTCCTGGGTGTTAGGGGAACAAATTGATAACCAGTTTATCCAAAATTTATTATTCCATAAAACCATGAATCACTTAAAAATATCTTTGTTATATATTTGACATAAAATATTTGTATATCACTAGAAACACAATGCCAAAAGTGTTAATATTGTATAAGACCCTGGGTTTCTATGTGTACATTATTAACACTAGTAAATCACATCATAAATTTATCACTAAATATCTAAAATATAGTTCAGTAGCATTTATGATACTTTTCAAAACATCCCAATCACTAGTTACCTATAACGTGTAACTTTCATCAAAATATATTATCCGGCAACCTTCCAAGAAGTCTGATAATACAGGGTATGTGAAGAAAATTTTATGACATTTTAAATTATCATTATCCTAATCAACTTCATCAGTGATTGTTTTATGTTCTTTTAGAAGCTTGTTCTTACCTCCTGAGTGTGAATCTAAACGACCCCCGTGATGAGAAATTCATGAGGAGACCAACACCAAGGCCTATAGAGAGCAGCACGTGGGCCACTGCAGCGCACCACACCTGTTAGATACAAGTTCAGTATTATCATCATCTTTATGAAATTCTCCAATTGATGAATTTACAGAAAGATTCTGCTCAATCCTTGTGTTGTAATAAATAAATAAAAGGATACAAAGGAATGGCTTTTGGGAGCCTGACATAAAAACAATTCTTTACAAATGTGCTGAAAGCAATAGTCATTTCCTTGATAAAGTGTTGGGTATCAAGGGTTTACTGTGACATTCAAAAAAGGACAAAGAATAATAAAGGTTTTCAATTTTCATAACACAGTAAAATACCAACTTTTTGTACAGTACAATATATATGATTTAATATAACTACTGATTCTTGGGAATGGATGTGGTCCACTACCTATGTTTAACCCTATTGAGCTTTGATTGTTGTGTTTCGTGCCTCAGTGTTAACAATGTCTTCCAAGATACAATCAAAGGATTACCCAGCATCATGTACAAGTAATAGAAAACAACAAATGAGTTACTCAGACAGTAAACAAGAAAGTGGAGCTATCATGTTGAGGCAGGTGAGACTGTATGTATAAGCTTATGATGCAGTAAGGTAATACAGTACTATATAAGTTTTCTTTTATAGATATATTTTGTTAGGCAGCTGTTTGTCCTGGACCTTTTCCTGAACCAATAGTATTACCTTATCTTCTACTCTTATAGATGTGCTAAGGGTTAGATAATAAAATGCAATGGGAAGTGATTCTCAATGCCAGCAGAAAATGGCATTTTGGGGTGAAAAATGATATACAGTATCATAAAATTCTTCAGTAAATAAGGTTCAGTTACTGCTCAGTTTAAGGTCTGAGTCACCCTACAGTAACCCAAATGTCTGGATCAGACTACCTGACTCACACCAGTTTTGATGTCAAAGTGTAAAAACTGATAATTAGATGCAAATTAACTGACATAATGAGAACAATATGATGATATAGTGAGTGTTATGTGTAACCTTGACTTGCACTAGATTAAACCTATCTTGTCTAACTGGTACCTTAAAGATCCCTTTAACAATACAATTTATCCTCCCATACGAGTGTAAATACAAAGGACCCTTAGATTTAATATACTTTGGACATTTGCCTTATACAGTATTAGTACTGTAAACTTTCTCTCTGAACAGAGAGACTTAGCACAGTTTACATATAGGTACACATTATTATATTCTGACATAAAACATGCCTGAGAAACACAGTAGGTCTCACCCTTGGCTGAAGAAGTGTGTCCAACTGAGGAATGAGGAAGGGACGAGCAAGTTCCCACAAAGCTTGAAAATCTCGTTTAAAGATTTCTGTTAGTCCTATTCCAAGTTGCAAGCTCAGTCCTGGAAAAATGGTGGTATGTATACTGTATTATTAATAATAATAATATTAATAATAAAATTTAAAAATATACAATGCAAAGGTAATGGCTCATATAATATAAATTTACCCATTTATAAGCAGCTTGTTATTATCTCCTCTTGTGTATTAACCCCTGCCCTGCATGGTAGTGAACAATGCCAGCTGGCATCACCAAGACCTGTCTGAACTATTCAGACTGGGCAAATTTGTTGTATAAACTTGTCAGTTGTAATGTTAATCTTGTCATTAAAGTTGTTAAAACTAACTTAACCTGGTCTAGGTGATGGAGTATGTGTTCAGAAGGATGAGTACATAAACAGCTGTTTGAGGAGTGATCATGATGGGCCTACACAGGTGACATCAATTTTACTTGAGAGTTTGTCTCTGACACAGACAAATTTGCATTGGTTTAAGAGTGTAGCAGTGTCAATAGCTTTTGTAAATTGGACACAGATAGCAATAACTGGTAACCCTTTGTTAGCCATATCTAACTAGGCAGTGAGGGTAGTCCAGAGGTTGGTGAGGCATGACATGCCATGTCTAAATCCATGTTGGCTGTCACAAAGGATGCTGTTTTCTACAAGAAATGTTACCTACCAACCCTTCCCATCAACAATTAAAAACAAAGTTCAGAATTCCACAACAATCACATTAACAATTTACAAAAGAAATACTGTATAAATATAAAATTAAGTCCTGGAGCTACAACTAGTTATAGTCTTAGGTAAGGTACAGCACTCACCTATGACTGCCAGTGTTGCTGAGGCTCCAGTGATGCCAGCCATGGTGCGGGGGCCACAAGCAGCTCTGGAGAAGATAAATACATAAGTAAACACTGTACAGTATTTAGGAATAGTCATGCATAGAACCTGTATTGTCACACTGATAGATATTGATAGAGGGTGTAATGGTTAAAGCAAGAGAGGTGTCTACACTGGCAAATATAATTAATTATACATGAACACCCATTTTAAAACTAATAAATAATACTGTAAAGAGTCCCTGACAAACTTTGAAAATTGAGGCACTTGGACTGGAACCTCCTTTCATAACCAAACCTATATTGGGTTATCCATGTGATGCTTCAACGACAAGGCATACCAGGATCCCTGATTTGTGTGACTGGGACTATATTATAGAAACCCCAAAACAGCTTCTCTCTCTACTGTAAACACCTAAAATATGTGTTTTTTTGGAAGAGTTAGTTGCCACTCAGGCTGAGAGCAGAAGTCCTCCCCTGGTACACTAACGTGTATGCACTCTGCAACTCATTGCTATGATTACAAAGAGTTCCAATTCATCTCACTTTCAGCTCATCTCAGTATCTTAAGGAAGAGGATGGTATCTGAGTCACTCAATCCATGCCTGGAAATGGGAATTCAAGATGAATCCCTTTATTTCAACTTGTGAAGAGGAAAGATGAAGGTAATAAGCTCCACCAATTAGTAAGACACACTTTGCCCCAGAAACAAGGTTTAAAGAATAACTAAGCTTGCAGACTCTTGAACACCACATAGTCCAATGATGTAGTAAACTTAGCTACCAGCAAGTAACTGGAGATGAACACCTTTGCCAATTCCTGAGCTCATCTTTGAAGGATAAACTTCAATGACAAACCCTATAGGAAAGTGAATGAAACCAAACCACAATTACTTTATTGTCTTGTGAGCAAGGTATACAACCTAGCTAAGTGAGTTTAATGACTTTAACCATAGTACTGGAGATAAAAGCTCTAGACACTCTATGCTTTGACTGATGATTAAGAATCAACAATTGCTTACTAATCTGGCCTGTCAATGTAATTGTTTTACCAGGCAAAGTGAATGATATGATCCACCATCTGGATTTCAGGCCTGAAAATGAATCTCCTCAGACCTGAAATTAAAACTTTTACTTTTATAAAAACTTTAGAAGCCACCAGAGGTGACCCATGAAAAAGAAGCATCAAAATCAACAAGCCAGTTTATCCTCCTCAGTTGTGTGAAACTTTGACACCCTTCTCCCTAATGCCACAGCTAGGAGGTCCAGTGCCTTTATGGCTTCCTCTCCTATCCAAAAATTTTAAGAATAGCTCAAGACCAACAAACTTCCACTGATTAAGTGGAACATTTAAGAAAATATAACTAATACTAATAAACTTATGAACCTTTAATAAATGTTAATAGAAAAAGACTCTCTAAGTGGACAGGAAAATCCACACAAGTAAGAGGCTGATGTATTGAGATCCAGTATTTGGGTAATCAAAAACAAAATATCCATGACTCCCAGGTATTTGCAACCTAGAGACCCTGTATCTATATATGCCCTTTCTAAAATGACTTGAAAGCTGATGAAAGAACCTGGGTCTACTTTCAACCCCAATCCTGGGCAAGGAATGGGAGGCCTGAGATTATATCTTTCACCCAAAAGAGGTACAGGTGTAGATCTCCAAATCCAGGACCCTTGGACCAAGACTGAACTGGTTTTTAGGATTTTCCAATTTCCTGTGTCCAAGGTAAACTAAATTACCCTCAGCCGAATGACAGTGTTAACTATTTACTTTAATCCTTTTCACCACTGATCGGCTCGTTAGCCGCTTGGGAGATCGGTCACGTCTCTGTCACGCACTGTTGGCAAGAACTGGGCATGCACTGGCTCCTGAATGTACCTGAACCTGCTCCAGTGTTGGTCAAGTCTTGTCTTGAAAGAGCTCACACTTGGTGCCGTCACAACACTTTCTGGTAGATTGTTCCTGCAGACCCTGCAATTGCATGAAGTCCCAAGCTCTCGGTGAGCTTGTTTGGCATTTTGCAACATAATACTGTACACCCTTTTCAGCTCCTCAGAGCAGTTCTGGTCTATCCTGAAGAAGTGTGCTACTAAAATAGCCATCAGAGAGATTGCTAAAATATTTCTGAATTTCTGAAATACAGTCCCAGTCACACCAATCAGGTATCCTGGCAACCCTGGACTGTCACTCATAAGCCTTGCTGATGCAGTTGCCTGATCCTCTAAGCGAGTTAAAAAATAATTCTTTTTGAAGAAAACACAAATAAATGAAGATTTTTTGCTACATACTGTACTAGACTGTACTGTACATTATCCAAATATCTGGTGTTAGAATTAAGTGTGATTCATTGAGAATGATAATTTCTAATGTCCAGAAAACTATTCAAATTATCATCTAATTCAATACTAGGCCTCACAAATATATTTTTCAAAATCAAAATCTTATATCATAATTGACAACATGACAACACATACATACTCCACAACAATGTCTTCTGGTCAAATAAAATAATTACAGTACAATATTGTAAAAGCAATGGTATTATTACCTTATCTACTAGCCATAATAAAATGCACAGGGCATTTGGACTGATTGCACATATATATGGTACATATTTATGTTTCCTTTGATACATAAATCAGTCATGTACTGATGGTTGTAAGTTTAACTTGTATAAACATTACATACATGATAGAGATGCTGAGGGCAGCGGCAGCTGTGCCAGCAGGTAACGGCCAGGTGAAAGTCAACTCCAAACCTGACTGCCATTCATCTGGCAGGTTATATACACATGATCTGTTGAAGAAAACATGATATAAATTATGAAGATAAATAATATATAAAAGATAAATATCCAAATTTCAACAAATATATCCTCTTAAAGATGAACAGAGTTTAAATGTGGCTCTTCCTGTTGGTTTCCTTCATTTTTTGACTCAGTCTTGTCTGGTGTGTGGTAGGAACACAGTAGAGGATTGTACTAGACCAGGGGTTTTCAACCTTTGTCTACTGTGTTCCCTTTTACAGTACAGTACAGTATATTGGTAATACCCACACACTTGTTGAAAGGGTTAATTTATAGAAAATAAAAGAATGACATCCATACTTGTCAAAAGTAAGAGCTCCATAAAATCATACTTGATACAACGACTCAAACTCAGACCTGTGGTAGTCTACTGTCCAATCTCCAGTGTTGGTGTAGTTGTTGGTGGTGACACTGCATTCTGGTGACACCACATCCTGAAACACCCATGAAGTGACATAGTTTACATATATTATGACTATATTTGTACATACTGTACAGTTAAAAGTAAAATGCAGCCTGATGAATCTTGGCACTAATGAATGATAGAATATACAAATCTGTTAAGAATATACTGCACTGTAATAAAAACCTTGAACATTTGAACTATGTATGCTCAGCCTATCCACTGTTAGAAGTATTTCTACTATCAGGAGTGTTGTATTTGGCACTATAATACTGTAATATAAGGCAAATACTAATACAATTCTTATTGAAGCATAAAATATTTACTGGCAATTTAAAAAAAATTATTGTAGAAATGAAAAAATATTAAATAAAATAACCAAGTAGTAAATTACAATATGTTGCACACTGAATTGTAATGTGACATTTTTCTCAGCACCACCATGTGTTGAGGTGCAGGCCAGAGCTGTAGAGAGAGTTCAGCCAACCAGGCACCATGTTGTTACTCAGTGGATAGGCTGTCTTCTTGGGCTTTCTCCCACATAATTTATTTACTTTTATTTTTATCCTCTTCGCCACTGGGTGGTCAGTTACATCTTTGTTATGCACTGTTGGCAAATACTGGGTATGTATGTACTGGCTCTTGAATGCTTATCCAATTGTAAATATATATGACAATTTTATTGAGTAAACATCATCATCCTCCTCCTCTACAGAACGAGCAGAAACTTCTTCATCAGCTGGGTAACAACATGGCGGCCAGTTGGCCAAACTCTCTCTATCTACAACTCTGGTGCAGGTGGTACTGTACAAAAATGCTCTCTGAGTAGGATTGATCTATTAATACTGTACTGCTTTACAAATACCAGATAAGAGAGATGATAAAACAGATTTGTTTAATGACAAAAGACTTGCGACTAATAAGAACAACAGGTTTATGTAAATTATCCATATTGTACCGTATAAATATGACTCCTGGAAATAAGCACCTAACAGCATTGTCAGCTATCCTTGGTCAAGTTGCCTTACTGTTTACCTTTGTTGTTTACCTGCACTCTCTAGGCACATAGAAAACTGTATACTCCCAGGGCCTATGTATGTATACCTACATTGTCTAGATTCATCCTGAACTGTATACTGCACCTGCATAGTTTTTCTGAATAAATGTTATGTATTATTATCATTATGATTTGCCCTTCCAGTATTACTACCCTTTTAAAAAAAAAACTACTGTGGTAATAAAAAGAATATTAATGCTGAATTCACGAGTTATGAAAAAACCTGGAAGAGCAACATACAGTACAGTATTACCCTGCTTTACATGGTTTCACTTTCCGCGATTTCTCATTTACGCGGTACCTTGCCAGAACCAGACTTTCACTTTCCGCGGTGCATCTACTCATATACGCGGTGAAGTATAATATTTTTTTTTTATTTAGCTCATAAAATTCATACAAATTACCCGGCCAGAGTATAATTTACATTGCTGGAATTCTTACAATATGATGATCATTTTGAATATAAACATCATGGATTTTGCATTAGACATACAAATTTTAGATCTAATGTAATAAGTTGGTTTACACAAAGCAAATATTTTATCTTTTGTGCAAAATATATGAAGTTTACATTCAAAATATTCCCTGACCTGCAAGGAATCCAGAAATGTCAATTATATTATCCTAACTTTAGTCTGAGGTATTATTTATTACTATATGTATGTTAAAATCTAGTGTTTTCACCCAAACATTTCTCACAGAGGTAGAAGCCAGTGAGCTGGGAAGAGGGGGGGAGTTGAGTCCATTATTTGAATGGACATTAACCTGGCAACTGTATTTCTCTTAAATATTAATTGTGTGTGTATACCATCATAAAATTAAGATGTTATTTTTACTACAACATACGTAGGTATTGTGTCGGAAAAAGTGGAGTTTGGGGGTCAGGGCAGTCTCTATTGGAATTAATCCCATATGTTCTGTTGTTCACTTTACGCGGTTTTCACTTTCCGCGGTACCCTGTGGGTTCAATTGACCGCGTAAATCGGGGTACTACTGTATATCCCACCCTACTCCTTGAGGGTTTCTCCTCAATGGATGGCCGGGTGTGAAGTTGGTCTTGGAACCAAGTTCTCTGATCAGGCCGAACAAGTGAAGAGCTGATTCTGCATGGAAAGTTCAGTCTCATGTGTTATTGGTATATTGTTAGGTACAGTAACTCTGTAACTTCTGATCTACCTTTTTTATGGGTATGGTTGTTACAGGAGGGCTAATTAGTGGATCTGCTTCATTCACCTTGATATAGGGTTTCCTGGTACCCTAACCTGTCTGTAGGCATGTTACACAAGTCTCTGTTCCCAGGCTTGGTCATAAAACAAGATTTTAGGAATCAATGCTCCATATATTATATTCATAATATCACATGTTAAATTATTTGCTGTAAATATCAGTCAAGATTAAATCTCCATTTTCTATTACCTGGTAATGTGAGTAGTACAAGAAGAATAAATGAATAACTGGAGTATGAAGTCATATTTTATGATAAACAGCAGGAATAGAGTGACATGAAAAATCTGTGCTGCTAATTCACCTCCAGGTAAGGTCTCCATCTGCTAAAGGACCTTGACATATTTGACAGCATGATACACTGTTCACAGTCAGACAATGTCAGATACAGTTATGATTTTCTTGCAAGCAGCATTCTCTCAACCATTCAAATCAGATTTGATTTTTTTTTTTTTTTTTTTCATTTATTGGGCACCCCCCTACATCCTTGTGTAAGGTGAAGCGCAGAAGCGTTTACAGCGCCCAACAGGGAAACATGCTAAGTTCATGCTTGCCTTATGTCTCATGAGTTAAGGGCGTAGAAGCCTGAAGAGTCGAGGGCGTAGAAGCCTGAAGAGTCAATGGTTTATGTCTAAGCAAGTTATTGGAAGCTCCAACAACTTGTCCCTGAATACGAATTCGCACCTTCCGATTTACAGCAGGTACCTACTTTGCTGCTAGGTGAACAGGGACCAAGGGGACTAGGAAGAGTGTCCAAACAACTTCCGCCGGCCCGGGAATAGAACCCGTGACATCTTGCTTGCGAGGCAAGAACGGTACCGCTCTACCACCAGCTCCCAGATTTGATTTGATGGTTGTCTCAAGGAGTTTTGAGGCTTAAGATCAAGAGGTCAATACTCTTATGTAAACTCATGTGATTTGGTCTCCTTCAGCTATAAAAGGAAATTCAAACTTTTGCTACACAAATGAGTTACCTGAGGTGGTCAGGATGGAATGGAAAGAAACTGTGAAGTGTATGAGATGTTTGGAGTTGAGGAGAAGGCAAAGGATGTTGATTATGGATTAGTGGAATGGGTGGAGAGAGTTTTACTGAGACAGCAGACATGTGAGAAGGATGCAAAAGCAAAGGACACTAAAGGCAATGCAGCAGATGCACTGGATAGAAGGAGGCCACTTATATCATAGAAGGAAAAGAAGGATCGGTACATTAAGCAGAGTAGGTAAAGGGGAGGGGATATGGGGAAGAGACAGGGCAAAGGAGAAATGTAGCAATAGGGCAGCATGGAGACTTCAAGTGCAACAATAACACCTATCATAGTCGATCTCCATACAGCCACTGTAAAGAGTACTGTACTGCCTAAAGAAGACCAGGATATCTTTTCAGGTTTGTTGTCATTTCAGAAAAAAAAAGAGAATGAATTTCCTCTCTGGCTGAAAGGGTTTTAATTACATGAACCTACATGATATTTTCAACCCCAGACAAGTAGCCTTGCAGGTCTTCAAGACATATGACAGATCCAAGAGACACAATTCTTTGACCTTGATTTAACTGGATGAGAATGAACTGCATGCAGCAAAAACTTATCCAAAACTTTATCATGTTGTGAAACATGTCAAGGTCCTCTGGCAAGGACTAGATCTGTCAGAAGCTTATGCAGAAGTTTGATGTTTAGTACAGTAACAATATATGGTAATTATATAAAAGTTGAGTCACTAATCAAGTATGGCTATAAATAGTCTTTTCATTTTTTGTGATGTGAGTCCATATTCTTCCTTTATAAACACCTTAGTTACCATGTTACTCTTCAGGCATATACTGTATGTACACTCAACTAACCAGTATTATTTCATAATTATACAATGAATTCCACAGTTCTGCAACAAATTCAGTAATTACTGCACAACATATTACCTTTTTAGAATAAAATTACATTAATATTGTACTTCACAACTTCTCTGACTACACAATGAACATCTTACCAGTAACTCACCTTGAGAATATCTGGGTTAATCCAAAGCAAAATGTAGTGGACGACTGGAGCCACATAACTCAGCACGACAACTGCCCAGTAGAAACACACCACCACTGTAGACCAGCCAACACCTGAACACATGAACATTTTAGCTCATAAATATTTGTCAACTTTATATTGAGGATTCTGGTGTAGAATAATGGTCTTATTCACGGAGTACAGTATTTGACAATTTTAACGAACAGCACATCAAAAAAAAGTCTAAAGCGATTTTCAGCCACAAAGATCACCTGCGATGATGGTCCTTCCCATCGTCAATATGGCTAACAGTTACTGTAGTGTTTTAATAATTTTACCACCTAGAAACATATCAAATATGTAGTGTAGTTTTCTGAAAGTACTGGTGAAATGATTAAGGGTGGGGAGACATCTTCCTTTAAAGGATGTAGAAAATGTTTAAGGCAGCTTGAATAAGTGAGAAGGAGAAAAACCAGAGGATTTGATGAAGGTTGTGCTATACTGTAGAGTACTGTCCCTTTATGTAAGGACATGGGTAGTGAGCACCTGTATGAGTGTGAGGAGGAACAAGTCCTTTTAGGATACCGAAACATAGTAGTAAAAGTATACAGTGGTCCCTTGGTTAACGAGCGCCTCGGTTAACGAGATTTCGGTTAATGATTTACCTTCCATAAGATTCTTAACTTCGGTTAACGAGCAATCCCTCGATTAACGAGTTTTTTACGAGCCGACTTCAACATGTTTTTGCTTGCATTTGGCGGTCAACCAGCTGTAGTATTAGTCCGCCAATACAGTACTCGGTTTTAGGGCTTAAATTCCTTACTATTTTAGTAAATATCAAGAAGTTTATACTATTCAATAATTTTAAAAGTTTAATATTAACTTTTTTAGTCATTTTAACAATTATTGAACATAATTGAAGGTAAAGAAACTAGTTTCTGGCGTGCCATGCAGCCTGTTAACACACCAGAGAGGCGTTAGTCTCTCTCTGTTTTCAGTGGAGGTAACATCTTGCTTGAGACTCTCTTCAACTAAACGCTTTTTTTTTCTGTGTTTCCAGGCAAATTATTGGTCATTTTGAAATATATTTTATATATTGACAATATATAATGCAGTGCAGTGTTGATTTAAAGATAATAATCTTGAAATACACCAAGAGAACTAAAATTTTATGGGTGAAATGGTGCCATGGGGTGACTTCTCTTCCACCCCAATGCCTTCTCTTCTTCCTTCTCCTCCACCCCCATTCTAATTCCCATCATCATCATCATCATCCAGGAGCCTTCTACATACACACCTCAAAGTAAGTGTACTTTTCTACCTTTTTTGTTGAATTTAGGCAATTTTCGGTGAGCTGGAACCAATTACCCAAAAACCCATTGAAACAATGGTTTCGGTTAACAAGTTTTTCGGTTAACGAGCAACCTGCTGGAACGGATTGTGCTCATTAACCGAGGGACCACTGTAATGGAAGTAAAGTAATTGGTGATCTTGTAGTTATGGAACTACAGTACTGTACAGAACATGTAGGAGAGGAGCTGGGATACTTTAGGAAAGGAATTTATACTATATGTAGCAGGTGATACAGGGAAGTTAAAAAAAGAAAGAAACCCCTGTATTTATGGACTTAAAACAGCATATGATAAAGCAAAGAGGAAGGCCCAGTGGAAAGTGAAGTTTATTGACAGCTATTAAGAGTGGTTTGGAATGACTGCAGGTTTATGCTAGGGGTGTGTACTGCATCCTTAGTTATTTAATATATTTTATGGGTAAAATACTGTCATAAATAAATATGGGTATAAGAATGGCAAATTCAGGGATTTTATGTCTGTTGGTATTATTAAGAGCCTTAATAGACAACACAGCAATGCTCAACACTAGCCACCTCCTTATCATGGGGGACTTTAACTATGGCGACATCGACTGGTATAATGAGTTCACCCCAAATGACTTGAATGACCCCGCTACTCTTTTTGTAGAAACTCTAAGATATAATTTTCTGTTCCAACATGTGACAGGTATACATGATGATTTCTTGCCATTACTCACCACACACTGCTTGCGGTCATGGTCACATGCAAACACCCAGGCCACTGGACCTCATCATAACAAACGAGAAGGGTATGGTGGCCAAACTGAAACGCCTTGCTTCAGTTGGCACCAGTCACCATGTAATGTTGTCATTCAGATTTAACTGTCACGACAAAACCAGGCCAAGGTGCAAATATTACAAGGGAAATTACGACGGGATGAGGGAGGAGATGAGGAGTATCCACTGGCCTGACTCACTAAGGCATAAGAACGCAGACACTACTCTGAATATCATAGCCAGTAAAGTGACCCATTTTATCGATAAATATATACCCAAGACCAAACCCAGTGCCTCTAGGAATACAAGGAGACCCCTACACATGAACCAAATGGTGGTCGACAAAGTTAAGAAGAAAACCCAGTATTCAAAGCGAGGGTTGGGTCAAACGATGAGCAGGACAGGAGGATATATGCAAGAGCCAGAAACCAAGCAAAGTCAGAGTGTAGAAGGGCTGAAAAGGTGTTCCAGAGGCTGGTTGCAAACAAGGTCAAGTCAAACCCAAAAGTGTTTTACCGCTATGCAAAGTCGAAATTAAAAACATGAGTAGGAGTATCGGACCTGAAGCTTGAAGAAGGTAGTTACGCAGATTCTGACCAGGACAAAGCTGAGGCATTGAACAGTTTCTTTTCCTTGGTGTTCAAAAGAGAGGATGCAATTAATTTTTCTATGTTTGAGGACAGACGGTTCAACACAACACTGACCCATATTGTGTTCAAAGAAGAAGTCAAAAGAAATAAACGGTCAAAGCTAAAGGTTCATAAGAGTCCCAGCCCTGACATGATGCATCCCAGAGTGCTAAGAGAGTTGTGTAATGAGCTTGCTGATCCCTGAAGATCCTGTTTTGTAAATGCCTGGATGAGCAAAAGGTCCTCATTTTTGGTCCTCAGTGATTGGAAAATGGCTTATGTGAGTCCTATCTATCTTCAAGAAGGGCGATCGTCACTCCACGAATAACTATAGACAGGTGAGCCTTACCAGCATATGTAAAGTACTTGAGAGCATTATAAGAGATGCCATGATGGAACATCTACTACGAAATAACCTTGTAAATGATTGCCAACACGGTTTTATGCCGCGGCGCTCCTGCTTAACACAATTACTCAAGGTACTGGATATTTGGACCCATATTCTGGAACAGGGTGGTAATATCGACATTATATACATAGATTTTGCCAAGGCTTTCGACACTGTACCCTGTGAAAGGCTGAAAATTAAACTGGAAGGGTATGGGATGCGGGGAAATGTCCTAGCATGGATCGGAGACCTTCTCCATGACCGCAAGCAGTGTGTGGTGATTAATGGCAAGAAATCATCAAGTATACCTGTTCACAAGCGGGGTACCACAGGGCAGTGCATTGGGTCCGCTGCTGTTTGTTTGCCGATGATGCCAAGTTATTTCAGGAAATCAAGAACCAAGCGGACTGTGAAGAGCTGCAGAAGGATCTCTGTGAGCTCCAAGAATGGTCGAAGAAATGGCTGCTGAGATTCAATGTTATGAAGTGTAAGAGGATGCACCTGGGGCGTACCAAGGGTAAGGAGGCGTATCATATGTCCCAATGGGATGAAGAAACTGCATTATTTGAGACAGAATGTGAGAAGGATCTAGGTGTGTATGTTGAAAATGAGCTGAAGTTCTCAGGCCATTGCGAGAAGGTGAATCAGGCAACTAAATTAATAGATCTTAAAAGAAGGTCGTTCAGATATCTAGAGAGTGTCCGTCCCTCATAACGATCTTCAGGAGTGAAGTGCTTCCCCGTCTGGAGTAATGTCACCCCGTCTGGTCCCAGAGATATACTAGGGACTGTCAGTTGATTGAAAATGTCCAGAGGAGGGCCACCAGACTGGCGCCTGCACTACGGCACCTCAGCTACTCTGAGAGATTAGAGTGCCTGAAATTGCCTAGCTTATACTACAAACGAGCAAGGCGGGACCTAATTGAGGTGTATAAACATCTCAAAGGGCACTACTTAGTCGAGTGCCTGGGGCTGGCGGACGCTCGCCCCACAAAAGGGTCACAGCTCAAGCTTGAAGAAGCCGCAAGCCCAGAAAACTGTGAGGGCAAACTTTTTCGGAGTGAGAGTTGTAAACACTTGGAACAATCTGCCAGAAAGTGTTGTGACGGCACTGAGTGTGAGCTCTTTCAAGACCAGACTTGACCAACACTGGAGCAGGTTCAGATACATTTAGGAGCCGGTGCATGCCCAGTACTTGCCAAGTGTGTAACAGAGACGTGACAGATCACCCAAGCAGTTAACACGCTGATCAGTGGTAAACAGGATAAAAGTAAAAGTTATTAATAGTTCAGTCTTTCATTGATGGTGAGTTGGGTTTTTGTCCCTCCTATAATCACTTCAATGGTAGAATTAGCACTGAAAAATTTTCACATTGCCTTGATTAAAACAACAGCCCTACACCTAAATCTATTAAATGTCAATACAGGTATAATAAAACTAATACAGTATTTAACATTACAGTACAGTGCTGAATAGGCGTGATAATAAAGTACTACTGTAATTTAAAGTTGCTTATTTACCATTCAACAAACTTTGCATTTACACTTAATATTGGTAAAATATGTGAGGCAAATATTGTTGAATGCCTAAAGTGACACATAAGTTTAGTAATTGTCCCCCTACAGCACTCCTCGGTGGTGACCAATATTTTGCTAAATTCCGATTCAGAAAGGATATAGGCAAGCACTGGTTTGGTAATAGAGTTGTGGATATGTGGAATAGGCTACCGAGTGCTATAGTAGGATCGGGGACGCTAGGGAGCTTCAAGACGAAGTTGGATAGGCACATGGAAGTGCTGGGATGGGTGTGAAAGGGATCTGCCCTGTATGGGCCAGTCGGCCCCCTGCAGTATCCCACCTTCTTATGTTCTTATGTTCTAACACTCCTACTAAACAATGTGATGGTAAATGAGTCTGAGAAAACAGTAATCATGTATAATTCATTAGAGCAACTATGGCTCAATAAACTGTGATTTCAGGTCAGACAACTTTGCCACTCTTACATACTGTAGCGCCTTCCTGAGGTATCATACTGTCCATAATAAACTACTTGCCATCTTTGTGGGCAGAGTGTGATAAGAGTACAGGGGGCATTCAGAATTGTATTTTGTTCACGAATATTTCGGTTTTTTTTTTAAATATGGAGAATATACTCAATAAAGACAATATTCTACTTCTAAAAAATAACAACACAAGAACACTGGAGATCACAGAAATCTGCAATTTACTCACCTCTGGCTATGGGAATAAGACGCCAGACAGCAAGAGAAGCTGAACTACTGAACTGTGAGAGACAAGCCTCCAGGTAGGCTAGTGGGGCTGCTACTACCACCAGGACGGCACACCACGCTGCCAGGAAGCTTCCTGTAAGTGTAACCACACACCAACCTGTCTTCAATCACCATAAATGACCATTCAAAGGAGTAATAATGATAAAAGTACAGCTAATATAGTACTGTACTGTATATCATTAAGTAAATAGTATCCTTACTCTTTACTAATCAAGACAAGATTTAGTGAATAAAAGTATACAGTACAGTATTGAAAAACAAAAAGTGCCTCATATAGTACAGTACCTGCACCATATTCATACAGTAAGCGTGGCAACCGCAGGAGTGAAGCAGCACCAATGATGAGGATGATGCCACATACACCTGACACCACACCACTCCAGGCCTCCCCGGAGTCTTCACCCCCAACTGTGTCACCAGTCTCACCACTCAGATACTGGGGGAATATACACAAGTACCTGTATACACATCACAAGTACTTTGTGTTAACAGACATACATGCACCCATTCAAACTCATGCTATCACACTCAAGCACATCAATGAGATTAAAAGAAACAGTATGTACATTAATGAATAGTCTAATTTTTTTATATTTCAAATACCCTGTATGTAAATCCAAGAAAGTGTAAAAAATCAAAGCTTCAACTTATGCTGTACAGCAAGATGAAAAATATAAAACAAAATATGAAAAAGTTCTCTTTCAAAATGAATCAACTTATAATTAAAGATCCTGTAAGAGTTTAACAAAACTAATAAATAATAGCATGGAAAAGACATGAGGAGAGTTTCATCAAGGGGGCAAGAGTGTGTCTAATTTCAGAAGTAGTGTCGTCATGCATTTATAGTTAAAAACAAGTTAATGGAAAGGAAATAGGAAAGAGGTACTTACAAGTATGATAGATACGGCTCTGGACAGCTGGGCAAGGCAGGTGAGAACCAAGGTCAGACAGGGCATCAAGGATATGATAGTCATCCCTACTATAGCTACACATACTTCTATCATGCATTATTTTAGTGTGGTAAATACATACAGTACTCTAAGTGGACAGGCTGGAACACAACAGAATTAAGGTATCGAGGCCCTGCAAGCCATTAAAACCTTGAAATTTAGTACTATACTGTACTGTATTGAGAATTACATCAGCAAATGTTTAATGCATTGTGTGGTCTGTTAAAATAAAGTGGTGAGCAATATTTGTCACTACCATTCTCTTCAGTACTTCTCAGTATATCAGCAAATTACTGCACAGTACAGTACAGTACTGTATAATATAAAGTAGACTGTATGTACAGTGATCTGACACTAAAATGTGTGAACAAATGTTCTCAAACTAGTAAATGTAAGAAAATATGTCTAAAATTTATATGTATGAAGGTATGTCCTCTGACACTGAAAAGTATAATGTTTTGTGATAGTACTGTACTAATATATACAAGTGAAAAACGTATTACTGTATGTATTTATTGACACTAGGGATTAATATAAGTGTTCTCGAACCGTAACATGTATGGCGTGTTTCTAATTCTACCTTGTGTGGAAATGTGACTTAAGAGTTCTTCGATGTGTGGATATGCATTCTCTTTTGTGTTCTCTTGACTTTGAATGTGTAAGGATGTGTTCTCTGTCTCTAGAAGGAAAAGGGATGTGTTCTCTGACTTTGGAATGAGCAGCAATTTGTTCTCTGGAATGAGCAGCAATTGGAATGAGCGGCGATGTGTTTTCTAACTCTTTGATATCTGAGGATGATTTCTTAACCCCACAATGCAAGAAGATATATGCCATGACACCAGACAGTACAGACATGCTCAAGAGAGAGATACAATATTCTGTAAATACACTGATTACCCTGACCTCTGTCCAATATAATGTGTGAACAATGTCATCTGATACACACAAAGAACATATTTGTTTGTTTGGTGGTTAACCATGACAAATACTGAAGTAATGTAAAGGGTCCACAGTAATACCATGCAGTGTTCCAACAAGCCAGGTTAAGTACTGTGCTGTACTGTACTATAAAGTCGAGTTCATATGGAAAACATAAAATGTACAGAACAAAATTAAAGTACCACTTTAAAAAGTTGAACAAAAATTAGGTTAATATTGACGACTAACCCGCGGATGAGTTATTTGTTTTACTGTTTATTTTTTTACTTTATTTTCATCGGTGAGTTCTGATATGATAATCATTCCTTGTGCAAATGCTTCGTTTGGTAGATAATTAGGAGCGCACTACTTTGTCTTCTCGGCTTTTATGTGGTAGTGACGTCTCATCCCAGGATGTAAACAGCCAATCATATTGACGTACAGTATTTTAAAACACTCCGCCATCCGGGCTTGATCAATGCCAATACTCAGTGTAAGCTTAAAAACCGTTCGGTACAGGCGGCTGCTCTCACGTCCACAAAAATATTGAAATTACACCATGTCATATTAAGTTCTTTCTGTTTAATATACCGGGGGGTTCCAGCTAGGAAGGTAGGTAAAGGTTAAGTAGGTTTGTTTGGTGAGGTCTTATAACAATGTTTCTGCTGTTTGTTTTTCATATCAACTAAGGTTAGGTTAGGTATAATTTAGAAATAACCACTTTTAAACACATTTGCACAAACTACGACAGTGTTCACTATATAACACAGTGAAATTGCAGAATTTTTATAATAATTTTCTATGAAAAATCGGCCACGGGTCAGTCGTCAATAATTACCCAAAATAATTTAAGATAAAGACAAGGACTGAACAAGGTAAAATATTTGGAACATCTGAACACTCTACAGTCATTACATACACACAAACCTGATACATCAAATATTCTAACGAAGAAATTACAGTAAAAAAATTACAATGACACTATTTTCTCAGAAAACTGCAATGAAGTGAAAATATCAAAATTTGCATTCAAAGGGAATCCATTTTGGTAAATTATTTTTCCTTCAAAACAGCTATTTCCAAAGTCATGTTAGTTTCAAAAGGTAATATTAAGATACAGTACATGCATATAAAACCTGGGATAAGTATAAAATCTTGGACTTCTTCATGACATATTCTGAACAATACTGCAATTGGTGATGAACTGTGACAAAAGATGAATAATCAAACTACTGTACATTATACAGTACTGTTAAAACAGGTAAGAACAACACGTATAAACAAACCGAGGAGGATGAATGAATGTTGAAAGAGGCGGTGAGTAGTGAGACTCCTGGGTGGGTGGGTGGGTGGGTTCTGAAACTCTGGTGGGTGGGTGGGTGGGTGGGTTGTGAGACACTGAAGTGGGAGGGTAGGTGGGTTGTAAACATTGGGGTGGGTCGGTGGATTAGTATGGAAATCAGTCTAAAGTGTTATTTATCATCAAACAAGAGTACTCGTTTCTCACAACCCCTTCTTCCAGTCCTTACTTTCACCCTAACTCCCTCCCACTACCCATACTTCCTCTTTTTTACTCCCACTACCCATACTTCCTCTTTTTTACTCCCTCATCCCTACTTACTATCTTTTATTCCCTCTACCCCTACTTTCTACCTCCATTATACTCTCTACCCCTTACTCCCTTTATATCCTCTATCCCCTTTCTTCCCCCGTACCAGCACTCAGCCTGGCTTGGCGTGGGCGACGAGTCTCCCACACGTATACTTATGACTCCCTGAAGGTCAGTCGTGTTCTAACCCGTGCCAAAAAGTTCGTCTCGCCTCCACAGGCCCTCCTAACACTTGTTTACCTGTTAAGTTGGTTTAACACCGTTAAGTAGATTTATCTATTTCTACTGTTGTATATTCTGTGAAAATTATACTGTACGTGTGTGTGTGTGTATACTGTACTGTATAAAGATACCGGTATCCTGAATGTGAGACACACACACAATAAACACCTGTGTAATGTTATTGTATATTCATTTTAGCCTAACACCTGTTCACCCCCCGGCTGTAGTGTGTTACTCTTCATCAAACTTCCATCTTCACTGTCACAACTTCCATCTTTTTTTTACCTGTTGTACAGACCTCTCTTTAACGACAGTCAGAAAACCTTACACAGCCAGGGAGAAATAAGCGGATCTATGGCCTGAGTCATACTCCTGATAGGTAACAACTGAACCGTCCATGTGTGGCGCTGGTGGCAAACACACCCTCTCACCCCTCCCTCAACCTTCCTTCCTTTCTCTTCCTCGCATTTCTTCCCCAACTTCTCTTCCTCTTCACCCCCTTCAACCTTCCTTTCTCTTCCTCCTGCTCTTCGTCACATTTCTTCCCTAATTTCTCTTCCTCTCCCCCCTTCTCAATACATTTCTCGTCTTCTCTCTCTCTCTCTCTCTCCCCTTCACTTCAGATATCCATTTATTTCGTTGTCGATTTCTTCCTCGTTCTCCCCCCCCCATCTATTGCCTCTTCTCTTCTTTACTTCATCCTCTTTTCCCTTCCTCTATCACCTCTCTTCTTTACTTCCTCCTCTTTTTTCTCCATTCCTCTCCTCCCTCCCTCTTTTCTCCTTCCTCTCCTCTTCTCCCTTCCTCACTCTCCTCTTCGTCCACCTTTCTTGTGATCGATATTTGTGACAGGAAACGACCTACGTGTTTTTCCCCCTCTTCTCTCCCCTCCTTTACCTCCAGCTTACCCTCACTTTACCCAAATGGTTCCTTACTCTAGGTTTACCCTCACCTCACTCTTGCCTTAATATCATACCTAAATCTTGCCCTTTCACTCCTTGCCTAAGTCTTCCCTCCCTGTTACGTTACTCCTTACCTAGTCTCCCTTCCTCTTGTCTTTCTCCTTGCTTAAGTCTTTCCTTCATCTTAGTTACGACATTTTCCTTATCTTTCTTCCCACTTGCCTGACCAAGCGCCTCACACACTACCCATCCAGTCGTGTGTGTGTTGGGCTGATGACGAAAGAAATGGTGACAAAGTTTTGACCATCAGGAAAATGAGGTTTTCCCGGTGTTACTGTTGCAAACCTTTCAGAAATGTTGACAAAAATTAAGAAGAGATGAAATAGCGGTTTTGTGTTGAGTGTGGCAGTAGAGAAGACAAGTTGGTGTGGTATGTGTTGACTGACGGGCGAGCGGGCGTAGTGATTGCGTCTTGTGTTGTGGCGGACAGATGTGACATGGTGGTGAGGGTTGTGTCACTCAGTCGCCACCACAGCCCTATCGTCTAGCGTAAATTTGTGATAATAGAGGAAATGTAAAGTATAATGATACGTGACTCATAATGTATAACGATTTACAGATCGTATATGTAAGCAATATTTCACCAAATTGTCAATGCACACACAAGTAACTGGTCGTACAAATGGCCTCCTACACACTGGTAGCCAATATGGAAGGGACACGGCCAAACAGTGACGTGAAGACCGCTGAAGAAAACTAAAAAGGGATGTCGTATACCTGTAACACCAAGCACAGGTGAGGGACTGGCACCCACACGGGGAGGGGGGGGTAATGGAGGGTGTAGGTGAGGGGGACCAGCACGCACACACAACCATCAGTATGCACAACAAAAGGAACACAATACAGTGGAGGGGTTAGTATGATAAGACTTAGAGTAACTTGTCGATTACGGCAGAGGACGAGACAGTACAGTACATTACAGTGTTTAGGGCACTATCTAAGGTTCTTTTAGACAAGGACAGGTAGAGCACTGGTTGGCAGGTGTGGAAGTCCCTTCTGGTGTAAGAACTGTACAGTATAACATACACCACCCTTCATATTGGTTTCAGGTTACAGTGTAGAATACAGTGTACACAAATAAGAGTGCAGGAAACAGTGAGGTGCAGGATACACAAGTTAGAGTGCACAGTATAGGTGACCATGTTGAAGTGTGCGGTATACGACAAAATGCACATCAGTCAGTCTGTCCAGCGGTACAGTGTGATGGTGTGTACAGTGACACCACCTCATAGTACAGTGAACAGAGAGAGCCTCGTACAGCTGAGAAGGATACAGGATGAAGAGTTTTATAAACAGGGTACTGTCGAGTAAAGCTGGGTGTACCAGGGTGTTGTAGTATACAACAGGGTGTAGCAGGGTGCTGTAACATAAAGCAGGGTGTGCCAGGGCGCTGCAAAATAGAGCAAAGTTCAGTGAGTTAGGAAGAGGAAGGATAACATGAGGAGGTACAGGAGGTAGAGGTACCCACGGGTCTGGCGGGGGAGTGGACCAGTGTGAGGGAGGAGGTACAGGAGGTACTCACGGTTCTGGCAGGGGAGTGGACCAGTGTGAGGGAGGAGGTACAGGAGGTACTCACGGTTCTGGCAGGGGAGTGGACCAGTGTGGGAGGAGGTACAGGAGGTACTCACGGTCTGGCGGGGGAGTGGACCAGTGTGAGGGAGGAGGTACAGGAGGTACTCACGGTTCTGGCAGGGGAGTGGACCAGTGTGAGGGAGGAGGTACAGGAGGTACTCACGGTTCTGGCAGGGGAGTGGACTAGAGTGAGAGTGGACCGGTGGCACTCGTCGGAGGAAGCGGTGTCCTCCAGCACTGACCCACCGCTGCCGCCCTCGCCCCACCACCCCACCAACGGTCGCACCTGCAGGCACACAACCCACCCCTTGTTTATTCGGGTGACCCTTACATCGGAGACTAACCTCGTACCATATAGGGCTGAAGCCTAACTTTACGACTCATCCTTAACTTTACAACAGACTCGTAGTGGTAAAGTCAGTTCTCATTATGATGGTACGATTCAAGGGTCACACCGAGGCCCTACTCAGCGCTGGTCTTGGTGTTCATAAGTGTTAATGCAAGAGCTAAGGTGAGTAATGCTGTTATCAGTTCATTGTCTGGTCTGGTTTACACTCTGGACCATAAAAAAATATGTCGATGGGGGTTATATCATGTAATAAGCAAATAGTTTACTTTTAATTCATGTCCCAATACTAAGAATGAAAGTTTAAAGATTTAGAGAGAAAAAAAGTTGGCGTCAGTGAGTCATTATGGAGAATCCTGGGCAAAAATAAATTATTGTATCCCACTGGTCATTTACGTAGTGTTTATTGACTTGTTATTTACCAGTTGACCCCTTACAGAGTGAGTCACCATGATGGATTCATATCATATTTACCTTCCAGCTTCCAGTAACACAAAGTACAACGTTAAGCTCTGTTCTTTGACTCATTTTTCCGTCTATTTCTCTTCCTTATTCTTCTCCCAACACAGTGGGGTAGAATAATCATATTCTTTCTTGAATAACCAGAAACATCAAGACATTCTACTGCCCTTTTGTCTAAAAGTTCATGTGGATTTAATTCACATTCCCCCCCATGTTGGGTGTGCCTGATGAGCCACTCTGCTAGGGTCTGGCTACTCCTCAGTCGACAGTGTGGGAAGAGTGATTCACGTGACATCCTTACAGCTAGGTACCTTACCCAGGCCAGGGAGGAGGGTGGGACACTGTTAGCAGCTCTGAGGTGGTTAAGGCATAGGGAGACCATGAAGCAGTGTTGTGGTTTCAATCACCAAAAACTTACTTGTTCCTCCTGTGTGTCTGCCACGGCTGGGGCCTCCAGCGGCTTGATCAATAACACTGCTCCCATTTTTCACGATTGAAGTTCCGCAAAGGAACATGATTTTGACAAGATAGGCTCAGCCCGAGGCGGAGATGAACACAATATCCTGTCTTTCCATTTAGTGACGTTCAGAAGTTTTAGCGTCAGTCACCACCACCGAGGGGCGGTTAGTGCGCGCGCTCTCTCGCCTGAGGTACAACTGTATCCAGCCTCAACTATAACCTTTATCAACTGTATTCTACTTAAACACTCATTCATCTCCACTATAATCTACGTAAATTGTCATCTACCCACACCAATAACTTATATTCCCTTAATGTACGTAAAATGTCATCTACTCGTACGTATGCATGTGTATATATATATATATATATATATATATATACACGTGTCTGGTTGCAGGCAGGACAGGTAAGAGTGTTGTGCAGTCGGCCAGGTGGTGTCCGTGTTCACGTTGCGTCACATCTTCCTACTCTAGTGACTCGTCTCAACCTATACCACCGGTGCTCGACTTGGAACTTCAGCTTGGCGATAAACATGATTTTTTTTTACATACAAAATATGTACAAGCAGATTTCAGACAATTCAGTGTACATTAAAGCAGTCTGTGTCATAACACCGCTTCAGTGCCTACGATACATTTGTATAATTTTTTTTAAGTCACTAAACAATGTCATGTTTGTCGTTACGCTAAAGTTTGAAATATAAGAGATTAATTGTTAGCAGAGTCGTTAATTCACACTAATCACCTCGCACTACCGGTCTAGTAACTATAAATATATATAAACAATGACCTTGAGTGCGAACCAGCTGATGCTTCAGCTGATCAATGTTCTAAAAATTTAATCTACTGACTGACATTGACCCACATTAACCTACATCAGGACTGAGGTGGATACAGTTAGCAGTTACTACAGCTTGCCCCCAACAGTAACCCTATGAGACGCTTCTAAAACTATGACTATAATGAATGTCCTTGATGTTGTACCTCATAGTGTAGAGGACAGCGGCCCCCAGGTGAGAGGAGTGAGTCTGACTCCGTGAAAACCACGGACAAAAGAGCCCTCCAGGTCCTGTCTGGTCTCGTGTCTCCCGGGATGGGAATCCAAAGCCAGTGAACTTGTGGTGCTCCCACTAAGCACTTCTGAAAGCCTAAGCTAATGCAGCTGATGACATTTTGGAAGCGTTGACTCACCTGAATGTCTGGGTCCACCTTGGTGCCCCCCGGGACGGAGGCGGCAGAGGAGGGCCTCGTATTGTCACTGTCGTTCTTGCCCAACGCGTGCCCGTTCACCACCACCGCATCCCCGCCGTTCACAGCAGCCGTCAAGTGGTGGAGATCTCCGTTGGTGATTCCGTTAGTGTGGTGGAGCTCAGTGGTGGTGTAGGTATGCGGGGTGTTGGAGTAGGTCACCTGTTGGTCGTTCACTACGATGGTCACTGACTTACTCTTCTCGTGGGTGTTCCTCTTGGCCTCCCCGTTGGCGGTGGTCTTCGTGCTGGTCTTGCGTGGTGTTGTGTTGGTCTTCTTCCTGCCCAGCTGCTGACTCGACGGCGTCTCCTCTGCGATCCTGTCTTGCTCGGCGGCGTCGCCCACGGGGATGGTCACCACGCTCGGTGACCTGACCTGCCCATTGTTCGTGTGACGTTGTTGAGGGTCAGTGGAGGGGCCTCCGTTCACCACCACCACCACGCCTCCGCTGCTCCGTTCTGAAGCACAATAGATACATCAGTGTACAAGATCTATGACCTATGTTACTCACACACACACACACACACACACACACACACACTATAGTGAACATTTGTAACAACTTTTAATTAACATGAATTCGTGTGAACTCGGGTGGGGAGGGAGGGGGATTTAATTGCCAGAAACAATGTAAGTTGTCTCTCTTTCTGTTCATAAAATTAGTAAGAATAGGAGCGAAAAAACTAAATCATTTAGCACTGTGTAAAGCTGGAGAGGGTGTGAAGAAGTCTTATAGAGCTGGAGAGGGTGTGGAGTCTAGTGCTGGAGAGGGCGTGTAGTCTTATAGTGCTGGAGAGGGCGTGGAGTCTTCATTTAGCACTGTGTAAAGCTGGAGAGGGTGTGAAGAAGTCTTATAGAGCTGGAGAGGGTGTGGAGTCTAGTGCTGGAGAGGGCGTGTAGTCTTATAGTGCTGGAGAGGGCGTGGAGTCTTATGGTGCTGGAGAGGTGTGTGGAGTCTATAGTGCTGGAGGGTGTGGGAGGTGCTGGAGGGGTCAAGTCTTATAGTGCTGGAGAGGGGTGGAGAGTCTATAGTGCTCGAGAGGGTGTGTGGAAGTCTTATAGTGCTGGAGTGCTGGAGGGGCGTGGAGTCTTATAGTGCTGGAGAGGGTGTGGAGTCTATAGTGGAGAGGGTGTGAAGAAGTCTATAGAGCTGGAGGGTGTGAGTCTTATAGTGCTGGAGAGGGTAGATCTTATAGTGCTGGAGAGGGGTGTAGTGGAGTAGTGCTTATAGTGCTGGAGAGGGTGTGTGGAGTCTATAGTGCTGGAGGGCGTGGAGTCTACTATGGTGCTGGAGAGAGGGCGTGTAGTCTTATAGTGCTGGAGAGGGTGTGGAGTCTTATAGTGCTGGAGAGGGTGGGTCTATAGTGCTGGAAGGTGTGTAGTCTTATAGTGCTGGAGGTGTGAGTCTTATAGTGCTGGAGAGGGTGTGGAGTCTTATAGTGCTGGAAGGCGTGGAGTCTTATAGTGCTGGAGAGAATGAGTCTTATAGTGCTGGAGAGGGTGTGAGTCTTATGTGTACTGGGAGAGGGGCGTGGAGTCTATGGTGCAGGGAGAGGGGTCTATAGTGCTGGAGAGGCGGGAGCCTTATAGTGCTGGGGGCGTGGAGGTTGGATAGTGCCATAGTGCTGAGAAAGAGGGCGTGGGAGTGCTGGAGAGGGTGTGGAGTCTATAGTGCTGGAGAGGGTGTGGAGTCTATAGTGCTGGGAGAGGGTGTGTGGAGTCTATAGTGCTGGAGAGGGTGTGGAGTCTCAGTGCTGGAGAGGGCGTGGAGTCTATCAAAGGAGAGGGCGTAGTCTTATAGTGCTGGAGAGGCGTGAGTCTATAGTGCTGGAGAGAGGGCGGGAGTCTTATAGTGCTGGGAGAGGTGGAGTCTATAGTGCTGGAGAGGGTGTGGAGTCTTATAGTGCTGGGAGAGGTGTGTGGAGTCTATAAAAGGAGAGGGCGGAGTCTTGAGAAAGGGAGAGGGTGTGGGAGTCTATAGTGCTGAGAGAGGGTGTGGGAGTCTTATAGTGCTGGAGAGGGTGTGGAGTCTATAGTGCTGGAGAGGGTGTGGAGTCTTATAGTGCTGGAGAGGGTGTGGAGTCTTTTATAGTGCTGGGAGAGGGTGGAGTCTTTATAGTGCTGGGAGGGTGTGGAGTCTATAGTGCTGAGAGTGGTGTGGGAGTCTTATAGTGCTGGAGAGGGCGGAGTGTGGCAGTGCTGGAGAGGGCGTGAGTCTTATAGTGCTGGAGAGGTGTGTGGGAGTCTATAGTGCTGGAGAGGGCGAGTCTTATAGTGCTGGGAGAGGCGTGGAGTCTTTATAGTGCTGGAGAGGACGTGAGCCTATCGTGCTGGAGAGGGCGTGTAGTCTTACAGTGCTGAGAGGGCGTGGGAGTCTTATAAAGGACAGGGTGAGTCTATAGTGCTGGAGAGGGTGTGTGGAGTCTTATAGTGCTGGAGAGGGTGTGGGAGTCTATAGTGCTGGAGAGGGCGTGGGAGTCTATAAAGGGAGAGGGTGTGAGTCTATAAAAGGAGAGTGGCGGGAGTCTTATAGTGCTGGAGAGGGTGTGGAGTCTATAGTGCTGGAGAGGGTGTGGAGTCTTATAGTGCTGGAGAGGGTGTGGGAGTCTATAGTGCTGAGAGGGTGTGAGTCTATAGTGCTGGGAGAGGGTGTGTGGAGTCTTTATAGTGCTGGAGAGGGTGTGGAGTCTTATAGTGCTGGAGAGGTGGAGTCTATAGTGCTGGAGAGGGGTGGGAGTCTTGTTATAAAAGGAGAGGGCGTGGAGTCTATAGGCAAGGAGAGGGCGTGAGCCTCAGTAGTGCTGGAGAGGGGTGTGGGAGTCTATAGTGCTGGAGAGGCGGGAGCCTTAGTGTGCTGGAGAGGCGGGAGCCTTATAGTGCTGGAGAGACGTGGGAGCCTATCGTGCTGGAGAGTGGCGTGTAGTCTTATAGTGCTGAGAGGGCGGAGTCTTATAGTGCTGGGAGAGGGTGAGCTCATAGTGCTGGAGAGGGTGTGGAGTCTTATAGTGCTGGGAGAGGGTGTGGAGTCTATAGTGCTGGAGAGGGCGTGGGAGTCTTATAGTGCTGGAGAGGCGGGAGTCTTATAGTGCTGGGAGAGGACGTGGAGCCTATCGTGCTGGAGAGGGCGTGTAGTCTTATAGTGCTGGAGAGGGCGTGGAGTCTTATAGTGCTGGAGAGGGTGTGGAGTCTATAGTGCTGGAGAGGGCGTGGGAGTCTTGCAGTGCTGGAGAGGCGGGGCTGGAGAGACGGGAGCCGTGAGAAAAGGACAGGTGTGGAGGTCTTATAGTGTGGGAGTCTTATAGTGCTGGGAGAGGGTGTGTGGAGTCTTATAGTAAGTGGAGAGGGTGTGGAGTCTATAGTGCTGGAGAGGGCGTGTGGAGTCTTATAGAAAGGGAGAGGTGTGGAGTCTTATAGTGCTGGAGGGGCTATAGTGCTGGGAGCCTATAGTGCTGGAGAGGTGAGTCTATAGTGCTGGAGAGGGTGGGAGCCTATAGTGCTGAGAGGGGTGTGGAGTCTATAGTGCTGGGAGGGTGGAGTCTTATAGTGCTGGAGAGGGTGTGGAGTCTTATATAGGCTGGGAGAGGGTGGAGTCTATAGTGCTGGAGAGGGCGTGCAGGAGAGGCGGGAGTCTTATAGTGCTGGAGAGGGTGTGCAGTCTATAGTGCTGGAGAGAGGTGGAGTCTTATAGTGCTGGAGAGGTGTGGAGTCTGAAGGGAGAGGGCGTGGGAGTGCTGGAGAGGGTGTGGAGTCTTATAGTGCTGGGAGAGGGTGTGGAGTCTTATAGTGCTGGAGAGGGTGGTGGGAGTCTATAGTGCTGGGAGGTGGGAGAGGGAGAGGGCGGAGGTCTTATAGTGCTGAGAGGGTGTGGAGTCTATAGTGCTGGAGGGCGGAGCCTATAGGCTGGGAGTCTAGTGCTAAAAGGGGAGAGGGTGTGGAGTCTTATAGTGCTGGAGAGGGGTGGGAGTCTTATAGTGCTGGGAGAGGCGTGGAGTCTATAGAGAGGGCGTGGGAGTCTAGGGGAGTGCTATAAAGGGAGAGGGTGGAGTCTATAAAGGGAGAGGGCGTGGGAGTCTTATAAAGGGAGAGGGTGTGGAGTCTATAGTGCTAAAGGAGAGGTGTGGGAGTCTATAGTGCCGGGAGGGGAGAGTGCTGGAGAGTGGGAGTCTATAGTGCTGGAGAGGGCGTGGAGTCTTATAGTGCTGGAGAGGGTGTGGAGTCTATAGTGCCGGGAGAGGGCGTGGGAGTCTTGGAGCGTGGAGTCTATAGTGTTGGGAGAGGGTGTGGAGTCTATAGTGCTGGAGAGGCGTGGGAGTCTTATAGTGCTGGAGAGGGGTGGGAGTCTATAGTGCTGGGAGAGGGCGGAGTCTAGTGAAAAGGGAGAGGCGTGGAGTCTTATAGTGCTGGAGAGGGTGTGGAGGAGTGCTGGAGAGGGGTGTGGAGTCTTATAGTGCTGGAGAGGGCGTGGAGTCTATAGTGCTGGAGAGGGTGTGGAGTCTTATAGTGCTGGAGAGGGTGTGGAGTCTTATAGTGCTGGAGAGGGTGTGGAGTCTATAGTGCTCGAGAGGGTGTGGAACAGTGTTATAAATTGAGTGTGAAGGGCAGGAGTCTTACATGGTCAGTGTGGAGGAGTGGAAAAAATTTTAGTGTGAGGGACAGGAGGAGGAGGCCGTACCTGGTGGAGACAGGGTGGCAGTCAAGGTCTCCGACACGGGTCTCGACGTCGGGGCGTTGACCAAGACAGAGGGCGGCCTGGAGGGAGTGGCAGGGGCGCTCGTCGGAGTTCTCTGGGGACTCGCTGTCGTCGCCATCCCTCTCTGGGGACTGTTGACTGGGGTCTGTTCATTGCCGGGCGCCTTTTGGGGACTGACTGGTATCTTAGGAGGGCCAACCGGCATTTTCAGAGGACTGACTGGTATTTTCTGGGGACTGACTGGTATTTTCTGGGGACTGACTGGCATTTTCTGGGGACTGACTGGCATTTTCTGGGGACTGACTGGCATTTTTTGAGGGCTGATCAGCAGTTGTTGTGCGTTGACTGGCAATTTCTGCGGACTGACGTGTATTTTCATTGGAGTAATCGGAATTTTCGGAGGAGTGGCTGGCACTTTCTGGGGACTGACTGGAATTTTCTGTGGACTAGTGGTTGAGGAATGCGAGCCAGACACCGCGTCGTGTGGACTGACAGCTCCAGACTGCGGACTACACGCTATGTGGAGTGTAGTGGTGTGTGGACTGGCACCCTCCACACTGCCCATGACAGGGATGGCAGAGACGTGTCTGCTGGGGGTGGACCCGCTGCTCCTGAGGGGGCTGCCGGCCGTCGACTCTACCCTCGACGGGGACTTGGCCGGAGTAGAAGACACTGATGGACTTTTTGCTCCGGGAGAGTCCCTCATCGCAGAAGACGTCTGAGGGGCGTCCTGAAGAGTGGGGGTGGAGAGGGACGTCATGTCTGGGGCCTCTGTCTTAGGTGAGGTCGCTGACGCTTGAGGTCCATCGTCGAGGGTGGAGGTAGAGTGAGTGGTGAGGGGCGTGGAGGAGAGGGAGGAGGGAGGAGACGACAAGGAGTGGGTGGGGGACGACACGTGGGGTGGCGGCGACGACACCAGAGGCAATTCGTCCCCTCGCACGCTCACCGTCCCTGACAACTCACGCTGCAAGGAGAGAACACCAATGTTAGTGAACAATTATAACTCTGGTACACCTACAAGCAGGTTCCTACACACTAACACAATATAAACCCGCTATCTTAGAGTATACCTCAGACTCGCCTTACCTCACCGTAGTGTAGGAGCCTCTGAGCCTCAGAGGCTCCTACACTAGTAAGAGGTAAAGCGCGGTCAGAACCTGACTTGACTAATGATGAAAAGGACTGATCTTTGTTGCCAGGCTCCCCTCACCATACACTCCTCCCATCCCATCTCCGGGAAGGTCCGGGAAACATATCATCTGTCTGTACATCACAACTCCTAATGCAGACGTAACATTCACATACACTAATCACCAACACGCTATGACAGGCGCAGACCTTACATCATTATCTTGGTTACTCGCCCTGACTACCCACACGTGTCATACATTCATCACTGCCCGGGTTAACTCCACCTACTAGCAATTAAGATATAAATTGAGAAAGATCACGATCAAATTCTTACTCTGAAAAAGTTTTCATTCATGACCTCCACATTCCGCGGTGTGCGAAGAGGAGAATAATGTACACAGTCCTCACCAGCGCCACAACACTGAGGCTGCGGCATGAATAAGTTCTTTTAAAATAGGCACAACAAACCAGTACTACCTAGCCTACCTAACTTAGCTAACAATAATCTAATAAAAGATCAGTTGATAAGGATAGATTAAATTGGTCCACTTTGTCGTTTTAAGAGAACTGTATAATACGAAGTAAAATAATACAGTTTGCAATGCCTTACTGGAACAAATTAATATACAACTTTTTTATTATAAACTCAATATTAATATTGGTTCCCTTCTTCTCACACTAAGCGGCCAAATTTGGAGGCAAGAAGCACTTTTACACTACAGAATAAAAAATTTGTCAGGACTCAGGGTGTTAAAGCAGGATAGAGCGAGCTTTGTCATCCCTAACATGTTAATTAGTGGCTGATATATTATTACCTGATGATTTTGTCATGTGATGTTTTGTTACTCTAATGTTTTATAATTTAGTGTCTTGCGTAAAACAAAAGAAAACAAAAAATCGAAATCCAGACAATGTTGCCATTTCGTCAAGCCAGAGGACAACCAATCAACATTCAGGATAAAATGTTGCCAATTCTTAACGCCAGAGGACAACCAATCAACACACAGGACACCATGCTGCCAATTATTCACGTCAGAGGACAACCAATCAACACACAGGATACAATGTTGCCAATTATTCACGCTAGAGGACAAGCAAGAGCCAAGAGTGAATGAATCAGGCGGTGCATTGTGTGAGACGTGGCACCATGGAGGGTCACAGGTAAAGGCTGTAGTTATGCGCTATCACGTATGCCCCGCTGTGTGTGTGTGTGTGTACTTGCCTCTTACCCAACACCTTCACCCCCACCTGTTGTGTCGACAAGGTTGCGTAAAAGTTTTGACCTCTGCACCATGGTGTTTGGTGGCCTCACGTGGCACTACAACCTGGCATAAATTTTTCCAGTTTCAACGACACACAAGCGTCCCTCAATACACTTGTGTGACAATTTAGACTCAAGCCTTACGCAAACGTTTGTAATTAAAGAGAAAACGAATATATTTAATTCCACACAACACAATCGTTTCTAAATAGAGTGGCTTCACTGCGTGGGTAATGGCTGACTGGCTCCACGTGTGGGTAATGACTGACTGGCTCCACGTGTGGGTAATGGCTGACTGGCTCCACGTGTAGGTAATGCCTGACTGGCTCCACGTGTAGGTAATGCCTGACTGGCTTCACTGCGTGGGTAATGGCTGAGTTGCTCCACGTGTGGGTAATGACTGACTGGCTCCACGTGTGGGTAATGACTGACTGGCTCCACTGACTGGCTCCACGTAATGACTGACTGGGCGTGGGTGCGTGTGGGTGACTGGCTCCACGTGTGGGTAATGACTGGCTCCACGTGGACAATGACTGACTGGCTCCACGTGTGGGGAATGACTGAGTGGCTCCACGTGTGGGTAATGACTGACTGGCTCCACGTGTGGGTAATGACTGACTGGCTCCACGTGTGGGTAATGACTGACTGGCTCCACGTGTAGGTAATGACTGACTGGCTCCACGTGTGACAATATCCCATTGAGATAAATTCTACATGGTATTACCTGAAATAAATATATAAAATAATATGTTCTCTATACATTGACTCAATTAAATAAAGCTGTATTTAAATAACTTTCCAACTACGATAATTCTATGTTGCCAAATACAGAGTTGGCCAATACAAACACTGAATTTATATAATATATTCTCGAATACAAAGGTTACACAAAAAGCATTTCAGAGACAAAGGTTTTGAATACAAAGGTGTGACGTAAAATGTTTTCAGGTATAAAGGCTGTCGAGACGTGTAATATTGACTATTAATAACATATTCACAGGTACAGTCGTGAGTCTGCCCTACCTTACACACACACACACACACACACACACACGTGATCGAGAGCTCAGTAGGTCATAATTATATACTGAATATTTTTGTGTGTATCCCATTTTTTTTACCTGGGCAAATCCCAGATCACCCGCGTGTGTGTGTGTGTGTGTGTTTGAAATGTCCTTCGAGAAAGTAAAGGACAAGCAGTGGGCAGGCCAAGAAGTCATGTCCTGGATATGTTATAGATAAAGCCACCAGCCCGCTTCCTTGTGTGTTGACGTGGAGGATGGTGCTGCTGTTACTGTGCTTCAACATGTAAGGTCTTTATTGTTTAAACACACACACACCACAAGGTCACTTTCTACACAAAAAATACAAAATCAGTTATTAATTTGTATTCTAATGGTATGGAGGCGGGTGGAAAGTTATGCAGACGAAGCTTTCGTCCAAAATAAGTGGATGTGATGTAACACTTGTAGCCAATACAGAAATGTATGAATAAGTAATATTTTTCATCTATATCTCAATAATATTTCCGCTAATCACATAAACAGGAACATCAAATGAGGCGTAAATCATGTCCGTTGCCACAACCATCGAAGGTAAACAAACCAACGGCAGTATTCCCCGTCAAAGGCGATTGATGACAAAAAAAAAGGCAAAATAAATAAAAGCTCCCAGAAAAGTAGCGATAGTCATTAGAGAAAACGTGAGGTTCAGAGTGAGGGGCAACTGCGCTATAGTACCTCCCCAGCCTCTCCTTCTCATTGACGGTTAGGATTATTTATTGTTGTTGTTGGAGCGAGGAAGCAACAGGGAAGGATCCAGGTATGTTCCCAGGGAGGAATGTACAGTGAGGGTGTGGGGGTGGAGGTAGGTCTCGTGGGGGTGGGGGTAGGACAGTGTGTGGGGGTAGGTCAGTGTGGGGTGGGTGTGGGGTGGACAGTGTGGGGTGTAGGACAGGGGGTGGGGGGGGTAGGACAGTGTGGGGTGGGGTGGTCAGGGTAGGACAGTGGGGTGTGGGTAGGTCAGTGTGGGTGTAGGGGTCAAGGGGTGGTGAGTGGGTGGAGGGACAGTGTGGGGTGGATGTGTGGGGTGGAGACAGTGTAGGTGTAGGACAGTGTGGGGTGGGGTAGGACAGGGGGTGGAGGGTAGGACAGTGGGGTGGGGGGTGCAGGGTAGGCAGTGTGGGGTGGGAGGGTAGGTCAGTGGGGTGGGGGTAGGGACAGTGTGTGGGGTGGAGGGTAGGACAGTGTGGGGGGGGGTAGGACAGTGTGGGGTGGGAGGGTAGGACAGTGTGGGGTGGGGGTAGGGACAGTGTGGGGTGGAGGGGGACAGTGTGGGGGTGGGGGGAGGTCAGTGTGGGGTGGAGGGCAGGTGTGTGGGGGTGGGGCAGGTGTGGGGTGTGGGTGTAGGTGGTGGTGGGTGGGGGTGGGGTGGAGGGGTGGGTGGAGGGTAGGTCAGGGGGGGTAGGGTAGGGTCAGGTGTGGGGGTAGGTCAGGGTAGGCAGTGTGTGGTGGAGGGCAGGTCAGTGTGTGGAGGGTAGGTCAGTGTGGGGTGGAGGGTAGGTCAGTGTGGGTGGAGGGTAGGTCAGTGTGGGGTGGAGGGTAGGTCAGTGTGCGGTGTAGGGTAGGTCAGTGTGGGGTGGAGGGTAGGACAGTGTGGGGTGTAGGGTAGGACAGTGTGGGGTGGAGGGTAGGACAGTGTGGGGTGTAGGGTAGGACAGTGTGGGGTGTAGGGTAGGACAGTGTGCGGTGTAGGGTAGGACAGTGTGGGGTGTAGGGTAGGACAGTGTGGGGTGGGGAGTAGGACAGTGTGGGGTGTAGGGTAGGACAGTGTGGGGTGTAGGGTAGGACAGTGTGGGGTGGAGGGTAGGACAGTGTGGGGTGTAGGGTAGGACAGTGTGGGGTGGAGGGTAGGACAGTGTGGGGGTGTAGGGTAGACAGTGTGGGGTGTGAGGGTGGGACAGTGTGGGGTGTAGGGTAGGACAGTGTGTGGGGTAGGACAGTGTGGGTGTAGGGAGGCAGTGTGGGGTGTGGGAGGACAGTGTGGGGTGAGGGTAGGACAGTGTGGGGTGTGGGTAGGACAGTGTGGGGTGTAGGGTAGGACAGGTGTGGGGTGGGGGTAGGACAGTGTGGGGTGTAGGGTAGGACAGTGTGGGGTGTAGGGTAGGACAGTGTGGGGTGGAGGGTAGGACAGTGTGGGGTGTAGGGTAGGACAGTGGGGTGGAGGGTAGGACAGTGTGGGGTGTAGGAGTAGGACAGTGTGGGGTGAGGGTGGACAGTGTGGGGTGGGGGTAGGACAGTGTGCGGTGTAGGGTGAGGACAGTGTGGGGTGTAGGGTAGGACAGTGTGGGGTGGAGGGTAGGACAGTGTGGGGTGTAGGGTAGGACAGTGTGGGGTGTAGGGTAGGACAGTGTGGGGTGTAGGGTGGGACAGTGTGGGGTGTAGGGTGGGACAGTGTGGGGTGTAGGGTAGGACAGTGTGGGGTGGAGGGTAGGACAGTGTGGGGTGTAGGGTAGGACAGTGTGGGGTGTAGGGTAGGACAGTGTGGGTGTAGGGTAGGACAGTGTGGGGTGT